ATTCGTGACCTGAGATGACCTCAGGGGTATAAACAGGGGTCACGGGTGCCATTTTCATGTTCAGTGTGTCAAACCTACTTGTAATTCAGTGTTTGAGACTTGAAAGTGTTTAGAATGACTTTCGTCCAAAAGAGGTGGTTTAAAATTGTCTCCCATTGACTTAAATACCTAGAGAGGTCGCAAAATTGACCGGTCACCAATATGAAAATTAATTCCGAGATAAACATTTTGTACATGCTCTTGCCGTTATCAATCGCTGAAAGTGTCTAAGCGATCGGTCACTCGGTGTAGCTATGGCATATACCGAACCATTTTATGAGGTGAGGTCACTTGTAGTGACCTGGCCTTGAATGACCTTGGCCTGAATTTTTTACAACATGTGTAGAATTGGTTGATGATAAGATGTATTGACCTGGCCTTGAATGACCTTGGTCTGACATTTTTACAACATGTGTAGAATTGGTTGATGATAAGGTGTGCCGAAAACGGCAGCGCTCCACGCTGCCGTTTTTAAGATATTCGCGAAAAACAGCAATGAGAGGGGATGTTCAAACACCCCCTTCCCCCAGCAGGGCGCGGGCTAACACACTTTTGCCCCAGTAGTCAAAATTCCTTAGCCGAGGCCCTGCCGTGTCGCCATCTGTGGACGATATTCTAAACCTTAGGCTCACATCTCGTCGGTGCACCGAGTGTAGGGCTATGCGATCGGGTGATGGGTATTTGTCTATTTATCTATTTATGCAAGTAAATATTTGTTTATTTATTTATTCAAGATATGTCCGTGGTGCTACGCGACGGGACGGGGTCCACTAAGCGGGCAATCGGGTCCATGGACGCGGGTACCGTGGGGGCAATGGGGGCAAGCTGCCCCTACAACTTAAAGGCTGTGGAGGCGACGCCCCCACAACTTTAAGGCGTGGGGGCGAACTTGCGAAGCTGCCCCCACAACTCTGCTGAATATTTTCGCTAAATATTTTGTTTTTATTTAAGCTTTAATGTGTAATTTTGGTAATTTCCAAATGAAGTGGCCCAAATGCGAAAATAAAAAATGAGGTACCCAGTTTGTTTTGGGAGCCCAAGCTGCCCTCCCCTCCATGCGGTTGAATAAAATGGAATGAAGGCAAAAATAGGTGAGCAGACGAAATTTACTTAGCGTAAAAAAATCATATCTGGTAGCTCTGATATGGTAGCATCCCTCTCATTTCCATTTAAGTGACCATCCCACCTAATATTAGTTTAGAGTTACGGTAGCCAAATTGGGGTCCCTAGTTTGCAATTACCGATTTGGGCACTCAAAACGAGAAATGTTTTAATTCGGAAATATTGAACTTCAGTCTGCAGTTTTCGAACTTTAAAGGGCTAATGATGCATCTGAATGCCCCCTTCGACGGCGCAGAGGTGAAGTCCGCAGTAATAAAAAAAAGAAATACGTTTTTTTCCAATTCATTTGATTACGTTATTCGACATTTCACGAAATGAAGTGGCCTAAATCCGAAGAGAAAATTTAATTTGGGGTACCTTGGTTTTGTCCCCGAAATCGGACTCCGCCACAGGGCCATGACCCTTGCCCCCACAACTTCAAACTAGTTCCCGCGTCCCTGCTCGGGCCCGCATCCTGAATCCTCTCATCCAGCCATTTGGAATAATATTCAATTCTGACGAGCTTTTTTCGAAAAGTGCAACCATAGAATAGCATCTAACATCGCAAGTGCCTATACGGGGTCGGAAGTTCTCGCGCGCATCATGGGCCTCACATGTTAACAGGCTGGGCAATGGCCAATGTTTGTCGTTTTTACCATTTGGTGTCCCTATTCTCCCACAACACCGCCATAACAAATTTCATTTCATTTATTTCATTTCATTTATTCACAGTATCACCCACGGGAAAAGCCCATTTACGGGTAAAGTCACATAGGCATAGGCACACTGATCATACAAACACGTAATAAAGGTATACAGTAAATGATACAAAACAGACCGCAATCTTGCGACACACGGCAACATCATTGGTCCGTTAGGCGGCACGGGCGGACATCGATAGCAGCGCCTCTATCGGTCACTAGGGAAAGCTGGGCTGTAGGCGACGAAATACCGGCTGAGTTGTCACACGTTAAATAGGTTTACAGACATCAGTCTTGTGAAGAAGCTGACTTTTTGCCTTCAATATTTCTACAGGCAATTTTAGAAGTGTCTTCACATAGATTACAAAACCGTTTAGATTATTGTATTAACTTCAAGCCTTCCCTATTGTTCTTGACGGATGCGGGAACTATTTCTAATTAGTGTTTCTAGCTAAGTAAAAGAACACATTGTGCAAACGATGAAAAAAGCATAAATGGAAGAAATTAAATGCAATTTTCTCTAACAATTTATGGTAAATTCTCTACACATCAAGGAAAATGTGCATGCTAACTGATAATTTAAAGTTCTTTGGGCCAGTTGTTTTCTTCTTTTCTTACGTCGCCCCAATGGCCGCGAATACACTTGTGATAACGCCTATCGCTGTGGGAAAGGCGCGGGAGGATAGCTGAGCAGCGTAAGACTTAGCTGTTTTCCTCACTGTGGCTAAGGAGTCCGTAAACAGGTCTAGCTGGTTGTTTTCACGCAGAAATTCATTTGCGAGCCTCGGCACCCTACAATAGAGCCCATTCTTGATGGTTTCGACTCTGGCGAACGGCACGGCGAGCAGATCACGGCGGCGAACTGATCGAGGCGGGACGGCGAGGCCAAAATGAGATCGCAGGGAACTAGAGTCAATTTTGTGCTTGAAAAGACGAGCTACATAAACCAAGTCATGTTGCACCCGTCGTGCTGCCAGAGAAGTGAAAGAATGTGCCGAAAGAAGATTTTCGTAAGAGAGAGAATCCGAGTTGGTGACAGAGTTAACTGTAAGCCAAATAAGGAATTTATGCTGGATTCGTTCTATGCGATCCGTATGTGTTCTCGCCGCTCCGCCCCACACAACACTGCAGTTCTCGAGAACCGAACGTACATTGGCGAAGTATGCTGAGGTGATAGCGCCAGTGTCATACCTAATTCTCGCTCCGGCTTGGAGTGACCGAATCAACAAGCCGAGTGCTCTATTGCCCGCCGCGACAATCGAATCAACATGCCGCTCGAAGGTGAGTTTCTGGTCCAGAGTAACTCCCAGATCGCGCATAGTGGTGACGTGATCTAACGTCACTCCACCTATTCTATAGGGACTGATGATGGGTGACCGTTTGAGAGTGATGGTAAATGACTTGCACTTTGACGCATTTAGTTTTAATCTCCAGGATGACGACCATTCTACTAGGCGGGTGAGATCGTCATATAACAGCACGGCATCTGCATCTGTGCGTACCTCCCGGTAAATCTTCACATCGTCAGCGTACATCAGGCATTCTGAGTGAACATACGATGGCAAATCATTAATAAATGCAATGAACAAGAGGGGAGAAATCAGGCTACCCTCCGGCGTGCCCGAAATCACCGGAGTCCAAGCAGACGTTTGACCGTCTAACACCACCCGCTGTTTACGGTTTTCTAAAAACGAGCCTAGTAGTGCAAGAGCAGGGCCGTTGATATCGTACGATTTGTGCAGCTTGTGTAACAATAGACGGTGGTCAACACTTTGGAAGGCGGCAGAGAAGTCGGTGTATATGCAATCAAGCTGGTTACCGTTTGAGATTGCCTGCCAGCCTGCACGGACAATGTGACATAGGTTACTTTCGCAACTACGATGTTCGATAAAACCGTGCTGTTTCTCAGACAGAACACCGCGAACGTGCGCATACAGTGACTCATACACTATCCTCTCCAAAACCTTGCCAAACAACGGTAGAAGTGAAATCGAACGATAGTTTGCCGCCACTTTTGTTGATCCTTTTTTATGTATGGGAACAATATTCGCCTCCTTCCACCTGTCCGGAAAGACCCCAGATGACAGTGACTGCCTGTACAACATGAACAGCGGCACAGAAAGCTCGGCAGAACACTCACGGACTATTCGCGCGCTGATGCCGTCCGACCCGCACGCTTTATGCACTTCTACAGCATCAAGAATACGAGAGACAGACCCAACTGACACATCGAACTCCGAGAACTGAGGCAAATCGTACTGAGGTGCTTCGGGTAAAGGGTCTGTAGACGGTGGTGCGAACTTGCTCGCGAAGGCGAGATTCAGCAGCTCAGCACGCTGCTTTACGGTAGTAGCAGTGACACCATCATGTGTGAGTACCGGTGACGTTTTTCTCTGGGTTTTAAAACACTTTACAAAAGTCCAAAAACGCTTAGGATTGTCCTTAAAACCACTCACTAGTCGACGCAAGTAGTCACTGTATTTCTGGCCAGATAGAGATTTGAACAGGCGGCGCTTTTCGCAGCTAAGTCACTCTCCGTCTCAGGGTTAGGGTTCCTCTTCTTCCTCCGGAACGCTGTCTCCTTCCTCAAATCACGCATTTTTTTGTCATTTATCAGTTACAGAGCGTGTTCATACAAACTAGCAATCGCATAAAGACGGTGTTAAGCTAACATCGTAACATGTTGAAAGAAAGATAGTTTGTCATATTCATTGCACAGACAGCTCAGAATAGCACTCGAAAAAACAAGTTTTTTTTTCTGTGCTCAGCTAGCACAGCGCAAACGACGCCCACAAAAGAGTTGCTGAGGCTTCCCATCGTTGCACGACACATAGAATCAAAAGGTAAAGGCAATAATCGTGCAAGGATGCTGTCCATTTTTTAGATATTGGCGTGTCCCTATTCTCCTGCGTCCCAAGTCTCCCGCCTCTCCCCTAAGCACTTCTCGATTTTGATTTAATCTGACACTTATGAATGTATATTAATCTATGCAACATAGGCATTATGCAATATGCAGTTTGGTACGCTTACCAAAAAGCGGAAATTGGTTAGCAGAGTTCATGGAGACCACGGCCGGGAGTCCCCCGTCCCCCGTGCAGTGTTCACTGTGCAGTGTGCACTGCAGCGGTGTTCACTGTGCACTCCCGGGCGCTGAGTGCTGTCGGTACTCGGTTGGCTGGCGGCACTGCGCTCCTGCAGCAGCGGTCAGCTGGGGTGGCGGGCCGGTCAGCTGGGGGAACCAGCCGGTCAGCTCAGTCACCTGCCGGCCGCCGGCCAGTGAGCAGCCGTACGAAGATGAGGTGGGAGGCTCGTGGTGTGGCCGCCCGGCTCTGCGGCGTGGCGAGGCCCGGCACCGAACGGCTCCGGCGGCCCGCCAGACAAGGTCAGTCAGACGGACAGGGGTCAGACAGTGGTGACGGCCAGGCCAGACAGACGGTTAGTTAGACAGACAGATAGACAGGAGTCAGACCGATGGTCAGAGAGTGACAGTCCGCCAGACAAGGTAATCAGACAGAAGGACGGAGTAAGAAAGGCAGACGGGGTCAGACAGTGGTGACGGACAGGCCAGACGGGGTCAGACAGACAGACGGTCAGTCAGACAGACAGACGGGTCAGTCAGACAGACAGACGGACGGGTCAGACAGACAGACGGACGGGTCAGACAGACAGACAGACGGACGGACGGGTCAGGCAGACAGACGGGGTTCGACAGTGGAGAAAGATCAGGATAGGCCAGAGAGGGTCGATCGGACGGCGGGATAATACAGACAGGACAGGGCAGTTTCTGTTACCACTCTCTCGACAAGGGTCAAGGTGGTAACGTATCACAAAGAGTCAGAGTCAGACAACAGGAGACTGAGTCGATCAGATACCCCTCTTTACACAAACAACACATTCTGTCAGACAATACAGGACCGACGGGAGCGCCGACAGCGGCGGCACACAGACAGTGGTGTCGGCCGACAGGGCCGTGCAGACAAGGTCAGACAGGCTCGGCCGGGCCGGACAGACGGGGTGAGGCGAGCGGCGATGGACGGATTGCGTCAGTCAGCCGGCGCGTGATAGATATGTCGTAGGCATCGGGTGAAATCCGGCATTTCATGAAATGCCTAGGCATTCCATGGAATGCCGGCAAAAACTGAAATCTTCGTAGAAATAGGCGCGTTACAGCGAATGCCTGAAAGTTTTAGGCATTTCATGAAATGCCAGGCGGAGGCCAGGCACTCCCTGAAATATGGTCAAAATTAACTGAGTACACTCGTTGCCTAGGCTTTACATGGATTGCCCAAAAGACGACCGGCACTCTCTGTAACAAAACTTTTCGTACGCGGACGGTTGTGTGCATATACACGCCGGCGGGCGGGAGGGGGAGGGACGTTATCGTATTGGTGTAAAATGGGCTAATACTAAGAGATATTTCACGGATCGTCTCGTCTGCAGCGCAGCGTACCTACTTTATTGTTAGCTAGTACACAAATATTACACTGTGCAGTTATCGGCTTTCTCTGAAGTGTGGGGTCTACTGTGTTGGTCCATAGGCAGTAAAAAAATATCGTCTGGAAACTCTCCTATAGAGACCGCATTTTCAAACAAAAGGTTCCAGACCAGAACTGTTTTATTATTTGTTGACACATGGGAGCGCTGCGTGGAACCGATTCGTACACATCATTCCAGCCTTACGGTACTAACACCTTTTGGTGTTACACTGTTTGGCGCTGGCCCGGCATGCACACTGCTTCATCCCTTGCCCTCCAAAAAGTGACTGCTCTCGGAACGCCTCTCTCAGGCCAAGAGTGCGATCTGTTCCGACCACCCCAACCTCGTTTGCATCGGTTTCCCGCAAAGCTGAGCGCGGAAACCAGCCCTTTATGACCCCGGCGCGCGTACTCAGCTGATACACATCATTCCTTGCATCAGTGATCACTGCGTGGATGTTAGCAGGATCGAGCGCCCCACGGTCCACTTTGGGCGGGAAGCGCGGGAAACCACATAGCTGCGGTAATCGTTTCAGAAAGTACCGGCCGTCAGTCGGGCATTTCATGTAATGCCTAGGCAACAAATGTACTCAATTGGTTTTGACCACATTTCAGGGAGTGCCTGGCCTCCGCCTGGCACTTCATGAAAAGCCTAAAATTTTCAGGCATTCGCTGTAACGCCCGTATTTCTACGAAGATTTCAGTTTTTGCCGGCATTCCATGTAATGCCTAGACATTTCATGAAATGCCGGATTTCACCCGATGTCTACGACAGATATACGATCAGTCATGAAAGGGGGAACACAGCTACCGACTCTGGCCGCGCCGTTCCGCTTATAGTTCTTTGTGTGGATATTCGTTGTATGCTACCTGGTGTTACCGGTTTAATTTGCATACGGTTGGTGACTGGTGTGCATAATTATGGATTATGGTGTTGAAAAGCTGATTTCGTATACTCAGATCGGCGACAGTTGAAAGGGGGTTAATATTCGACAGTGTCGCCGAAATGAACCGTTTCCGTTTGTTGCTAATTATTGAAAGCTAGGTCTGGTCAACGTTGGGGTTATGTTTGCTTGAGAAGGTTCAAACGTTTGGAAACTACTATACAATAATCTAAAGCGTTGCTTTATCGATAAAAACAAAAATCGAGCCGTAGGTGTTGCATCCAGACACATTTATTTAGCACCAGGGTTAAGGCGATAGATTTCATAGAGTAATCCGGTAGACGTAAATTCTCAAACAGATCATGTCTTCAAAAACGCGGAAGGAAGGCAAGCTAAGCCATTTCGCCTTCATTACATCAGCTATCCCTGGTCTATCATCGGGAGACACTACGTCTGTAAATTTATCCTTGTTCCAAACCATACACAATTTTATTATTGGCACAAGTGTCAATGGACTGCGATCGAGTCCCATGCCCAATTGCCCATGCTGCATTGACAATGCCTGACTTCCTGTCCTTTTCGATGCCTCTGACTCCTCGACATTGTCAATCTCCACATCATCTGCGCCGTCACGGTATTGTTGCACCGAGCTGCTTCACTGGACAGAGAACAGTCAACAGTCAACACCTCCCGCGTACCGCGGCCGCTCGGCACACGGGCTCCCTATCCACCCTGTCCACCGCACGGGCCGGGCCGGGCCGGCGCCGGGCTGTTGGCCCCGTGCCAATTCGGTCCGTGCAGGAGTGGTCTGCTGGGTCGGTCGGCCGGCAGCAGCTCTGCCTGTTCAGACGGTAACAGGGGACGGCGAGGCCGAACAGGGCGACCGCGGCCGATCACACGGCAGCGGGATGGAATAATGCATGCAAGTGCTCGACTTGGGCTGTTGGCACGTCTGTTTGAGCGCCGTCGTGGATTCCCGGTCGTTCTATGTCGCAATGCATCGGGTATTGAACGTGCACCGTTGTTCATCTTCATTAGATGATTCCCTTTGTCGCTGAACGGAATATCTGCAGGCGACAGTGGACTATTTCCTTTTGGCTTCGCTAATTTCTTTGATCAATGCTCGGAGCGAGCGAGATATAACCCTTCTTTAGGACCGCTGCGACAAGCCAGTCGATCGTGCTGGTGTTATCGTCACAGCCTACGCTGCAGTCGCCACCCTGCGGACCGATCCTTTGCGTTCGCCTCTCGGCAGGGCCGAAAATGAAGCGTGTTGTACCGAAAGATAGTCCGTCTTTCGGTTAACACATTGCTAGGAAATTTTTTAGTGACATTAAGTGTCAACAATGTTTAAATGATCTTTGAGGATGAGCTCCACGATTATCAGGTAGATCGGCTCTAGCACGTACACATAAAACAATAAACATCAGTTGATCACACATCGACGATTTTCAACAACAATAAGTTACGAGACAGCCTACATGAGCTGTGCAGTGTGCATCTTCTTTGATGAGCAGCCTCCAGCATAACTCAGCTACGACGTGAGAAAATCGTCCGGTAAGGTTCCACCACATTCCCCTGTGATCTACCGTTGGATAATCGCAGCGGTTGCAGCCTGCGGCGCGCTGGGTACCTCACAATAACGTGCAAGTGTTTAGCATCTGGCGCATCTTCCGTTTATGGTCGTGTTATCCTGCGTAGACAGGCCGGTTGGGCTAGTTAATTGAGAGGGACGCTGGGCCGACCGACTGACATGTGGCCGGGCACGGCGTGCGTTGGCTACCGCCAAGGCCGCTAAATTGTCTGACCAAATATGCCGACCTCGCTCCCTGGAAGGAACACCAGCCCCAGTGGGCCCCAGTAAGCCCCACCGACCCCTGTGGAGGTGCCGAGCCTCCGCGGGGACTACCGGACCTCAATGGAGCTAGTTTTGTCCTCAATGGCGTCACGCCCAGAGACAAACGCCGCCTTCTTTGGCTCGGCATTCCTTGGAATCAGCGAGCCGCGGAAATCGCAGAGAACGAACGGAAATGAGTGGCGTCAAGGCACTTGTCCTTCTTGACGTAAGAGGTCATGAGGGATTTGACGCTTACTGAAGAGATCATTTTCAAGCCTGGCCCAGGACAGGCTATTTTGAAGTAACGTCACAAATGAAACACAGTTGCTTCACACAGTAGTTTGTGTTTTGAATCTTTTAAAAACACGGATGCCATAATTAACGTGCTCCGACCTCGCAAACCAAATTATTCCACCGGAACCATTCGGTCAATTAACGTCAGGCTACTGATGGATACCCACACAGCTCGCGAACTTCATCTATAGACATCCGCACGCCTTTCGTGGGCAGTTCGCACACCATTCACGGCTCCGCGGCGGCTCCACAGCCGTTTCTGCGCAGAGTCGGCCCGGAGGCGGACTCTGACTCGATGACTCGCCTGTGGGCGGTAATGTGTGCGGATGTTCACAGGGGAACATCCGGTGCTGGTGGAGGTGGTGGTCGACTCAAGGCTGGCCGGCACGCGAGTGCGGTGCAGCCGAGCCGAACATACGGCGGTTCTGTGCACGGAGCTCGGTTCGTCACACGTCCGGTGTCACGGACTGATCATTGTCCGGCGGCGTCAAAGACGTCAGTGTCCGACGTCACAGACGACCGAGTGCGGAGTCAAATGGTGGTGTCCATCGCGTGCGTCACAAAACACAAAGCAACAGTCCGGTACCAATCCACATCCATTATGTAGAGACATATCCCTTATGGGGATCTGCCACTACCTCCTTCATAACCCCACAGACCAGCGCGAGCGGTCACCCGTTCCAGATCGCTGGCACAAAGCGAGTGCTGCCTTCCAGCACCCCTCAACTGATTCACACCTCTAATGATGACTTCCAGTGATGGCTGACTGAACCACTGCCGTTTTACCAGCCATCCCTCAATCCACTATCCGCCCACGCACACACGTTTAACATTCCTAACATTGGCTTACTATGAGCACACTCGCGGCGGTCACAGCAGTGCTAGGTGATGGCTTTACTGCCATGGGCTTGGGCATGGGGGTGTTCGCAGGTCGAACTCTGCCGGCAGGCGGCATCACACTGCTTCATACTCGTCCTCATGCCGGCCTCATGAACTGCATGGTGATGATTTTAGTGTCCTGGGACCTGGACTGGACTGGGTGTTCGGAGACCGAACTTTACCGGCATCTCCTGTCCCCAGGCTGGACACGTGTCCAATCCCGCCGGCCAGCTCGGTACAAGGGCGGCCGTCTCAGTCTGTCCGTCTGTCCGTCTGTCCGTCTGTTCGTCTGTCCGTCTGTCCGTCTGTCCGTCTGTCCGTCTGTGCAGTATCCGCAGACTGCTGCAGATGGAGCCGACCGGCCGGCGCCTCGTGCTGACCGGCACCGCGGCACTGTGGTGAACTGCGCAGCCAACCGAGTCACTGCCTGGCGAGCGGGAGGGAGAGATGCATAATCACCGCCCGCGGCGCGGCCGCAGCTCCCGGTCAGGAGAAAGTCCGCTGCACTGGACTGGACTGGACTCGCGGGTGGGAGGGATATGAGCCGCTAAATGACAGCTGTCGAAACCTGTGCCGGGGATTATTTCTTTTTTCAAGTTGTAGTGTGAGCTTGGCTTGATATGTTGGCTTTGCATTTTTAACAGAAGAGGAAGTTACGTGCTCAACACTTCTATGGATTCTCATTGGAGTTTGCTCAATTACCTGATTTGTGCCAAGTCTCGATTGCTCGTATGGGCAATCAGTGGAAGTCGCCTGCGTGAATTTATCGTGAGAATCGTGTGAAGCTCGGAAACAAAGACGAATTCGAGGAACGGGAAATGGGCGTTGAAGCATGGGCAGCAAACCGGAAATTATGCATAATTTGAGCAGCAGATCCCAGCCCCACGTAATTGCAAGTTAAAGGAACGGAAGTTAGCACTCTCATTTTTACTTGCGCTTATGCCGGGCCCTAATGGGTCAGTGACCTGTGGGATTTTTTTTCGAACGCATAAACAAGGAAGCTCGCAATGCTTGATCTCATATAATTTGTTATATAGCTCATAAAATAGAATATTTAGTTACATAAAGCTGATCACCTTTCCTTGCTCTGGGGCTCATGATGACCTTAAATCGAAATGCTTTACCTTAGGACCGGGTCTGTTTTGTCTATTATTGCTCCTGCAAAATGTCAAATTCATGTAAGGGTGGCCAGTCCGAGTCTGACCTCATCCCCAGTCCTCACCTTTGACTCAATACCTACCGGTTCACCCCAGGGCTCACCCTTCCCCGCCCGCTCTGCCCAGTAGTGGCGGACGGAGGGGACGGGCTGCCGGCCGGCCGGCCGGCTGCGATAACCGCCGGCCGTGTGCAGGCGAGCAGGCAAATCGTCATTACCTCACCGGGGAGTGGCCGTGGCGCTGCAGTCACTTTCCAGGTGCCCCCGAGCAGCCGCGGCGCCCCGTGAAACGGCACCCAGCACGACATCCACCGACACACGCGCCGGCATCACTATTCATGGGATGTGGAGCAGCCCTGTATGCATATTGCATAATATAAGTATATGCATTCAGGAAATAATCTACGTGAGTTTTTGTTTTGCTGTGATCGTGGAATAAAACAAAGAACCTAGATACGCCCGAGGCCTTAATAAAAAAGTCGCAATAATCCTCTCATGCGATAATTTTGCTTTTTAACTTTTGATCATAGAATCAGCCTGGTCAGCCTAGCCTTCAGTTCATACTTGGCACTGGCCCATGCGCAATAAATATTGACTGCTGACCAGTCGACAGTCACTGGTGAGGACTCCTTATTACTATGGCTCGGCCTGTTTGGAGACAGTGGTACTCGTGAATGGCGGTTGTGGATTAGACCGCCCGTGCGACCCGCCACGTGGCACCGGGCGATCGCCGCGTGTGATCGCGTGACGGGGCTCACGGCGGGCTAACCGCTGAGTGCCGCACACCACGCTGGGCAACTGTTTCGTGGCGCTCTTTCCGCTCTTTGTGGCTTGCTTAAATACCTGTTTCGTGTGACCGATCAGCTAACGAACTGCTTAGCCGAACAGGCAATTTTGTGCTTAGCAGGCGTTAGTTCGTAATGGAACATAAGTAGCTTCGGAATGTCACATGGACGACCATTGTTGCATTATTCCTTTTCAACGGGGATGCTTTTTGCTACCGGTTTATTGTTATATGAGAATGGTGGCAATCTCGTGTCCTATAACACTGTTGGAAGGGCAATGGGGAGGATAGTCTATCGGCCACTACCGCGGGATAAACAGCCAAAGATAGACCGGCACCAACTCACATCCAGCTCATTACCGTCATGACCAGCTCGAGCGGAAATTCCTAGCCAACTCCAGACTCGTAGCCAACTCATGACCCGACTTCATGGCCAGCTCGTGACCGATTCGTGACGTGCCGGCCGACGCTGGTCCGTGTTGCAGCGAAACGGCCGACCGGACTCACGGAGAGCTGGTTGTCCGACTGTGATACATTCCTGCAGACGGGCCGGGCTGACCTCTGGCGGGATGGGACTGATCTTTGACCCCCGGTCGGGCCGGCGGCCCCGGAACCGTCTACCCCGGCCCCTGGCGGAGATGAAAGCTCACTGACCCAGGTGCCATTGGGTCCACCGTCTGCGGCGCATATCGGCCGATTGTATTTTACCAAACTGGCGGGAAAACATGCAAAATGAGATATAATGATAGGTGAAAACGGTGTAATACACACTTAGAGACGAACCAACTGAATGCAATTTGTTATCTTCCACGCAGTTCAGTGACCCGTGATCGATTAAAAGCACAGCAATAACCATAACTTTGCTACACATTTCCGTTTACATTAATATCTCCTCAGTAAGCTGCATCTGACCTGAGTATCTCTCCCTCACAGCGCTGGGGTCCAGGCCGACCCGGAGGAAGCCGGAGTCTCCCGGAGCGGAACGGAGTCCGGACGGCCCGGAGGCACGCGCCGCCAGTCAGGTCGGTGTGGTGGGCGATCGGCCATTGGTCGGTCACAATCAGGGATGGTGCGAATGGACGTAAATCGAATAGTGCTGTGTAGCATGATGTGCTGCGTGCCAAGAGTCACCAGCCATATAAAACAACCTTTACAGAAACTGTGGCACACATAGATTCGGGTAGGCATCCATAGATTCAGTCGGTCACATATCAGCGGACAGAGACCAAACTGATATTGACGTGAAACCCTGGCATGCGGCTTTAGCCGAAAATGAGGGTTTAATGTAGTTGTTGTGTATTTTGGACATTTCCAAGGTGTGACAATTTTTCTGGGTGAGAGGCTAGGCCCTTTCGATCCGTTTTGAGCCCTTCCTCTCTTCGGGGCTTCGAAATTCATAGCCTAGCAGTATAACGCTAGCTCGTGATCGACGGTTGTATGTGCTGTTGTTGATTGCCACGGTACCGAGGCCCGCGATCACTGAGGTCAGCGCCCAGCCCCATTCGGCGCCGCCGTCTTTAACACACAACACGCCAATGTATCGCGCATCCATGCTCGCGATCGGCTGCTACGGCGAACTATCAACCGTACACCGGCCAGAGGACCAAGTGGGTCGGGTCGTGCTCCTGCCCCGGCGTCGACCTGCCGGCTGGCGTGCTCGCGGCCAATCGGGTCTGTCAATGGCCACGCGCTGCCAGTGAGAGCAGTGGCCCGCGCGCCGGGCCGGCCAGTTTCTATCGGCCATCGACGGCCTACAGTACCGGTCGGAAGAGGCGTGCGGGCCCACATATCCGCATCACGGCGCAGACGATGCGAGTTCCCACGGCAGTATACGGTTCGTTTCTCAAAAGACCGTATCGTCAATGAAAATGGGGTATAGAGATGTACCGTTAGCCTATTGGCGAATGCGGCTTATTGGGTATGCCTCACGAAATGCATAAAAGTGATGTCTAATCATTCGTGCATGTCAATTCGGTGCTGACCTTAGGCCTAGAAACGTCTGAGACAGGTGGCTTTGCACTTCTTATTTTCATTATATTTTCATTCTGGGAGGTACAATAACTATACTTCTACAATCGTTTTTGATTGTTGGCACTTGACAATAGGCGTAAACAGCACGTCTGGTCATCTGAAACATTCCAAGGCAGGCCCAGTGCTTCATTTGATGTGAATTAATGGCTTAATGATTTATAATCATTTGAAAACTTCCAAAGCAATCTTCAAATCATGAAAACAATGGCCATTATCATTCAAATACCCGTAACTTTGACTGCCTATGACTTGCCACTTCAACCGTACCTACCATTCTTTGTTACATTCCCACGAATGCATTGATGGAAAGGCCGTGCCTACCCTAGTGCTTCGAATAAAGCCAGTCTTGAATAATAATTAAGAGCAAATGTTAAGCAAAACACACGGTAAACGTCTGTATTTATGAATGCTGCTCAGCTGTCAGAAATCAGTACCTAGCATAAAAAAACGTAGTGGCCACTGGGCTCTCATCCCAACGCAGTGCCGTTAGCATTAAAGAAATTGCAAGACCTCGTTGACCGAATATTAAATACTTCTACCCTCGACGGCACTTGATTGGGTGGCACAAAACTTATAATTATCCGTAAAGTCCCATATTATTCTTCATATTCTGTTGTGCGTCGTCTTTTAAACCGGTTGAAAGCACACTTGCCGACACAATAAAAGACCATTCGCCGATTGGGACCCGATTTGGCTTGCTGCAGCTCCCCTTGACGAAAATTCTGTCTACCGTTAGCGCCTCTGATGTACGGGAAGCTGACACTCCTCTCTTCCCTGCAGGCCTCCTCCTCCAGCGCCGGATTTCTGCCGGATCTGGTACCGTGTGCTGGGCGCAAACCGCGGCGGACAGCTGCTGCTCTAACTGCTACAGACAGGACAAACACAGGGACAAACACCGGAACAAACACCGCGGTAAACTCCGGAACAAACAGCGGGACCAACTCCGGGACAAACTCCGGGACCAACTCCGGGACCAACTCCGGGACAAACTCCGGGACAAACAGCGCGACAAAGTCCGGGACAAACACCGCAACAAACAACGGGACGAACAGTGTGACAAACACCAGTCGGCCAGCCGGCGGTGCCAGCGAGCAACCAGACGGCGCCTCGAACGGCAGCAGGACTGCCAATGGTACCTCGAGTGGCGCGGATGCCAACAACGCCTCATCCGGTGGCGGGGCTCGACAGGATAACCACAACCGTCCGAGACTGAGGAGTCCGGCAGCTTTGCCAGGCGACATCAAAGGCCAGACATCTTCCATTACCAGAAGGCCGCCACCGGCTGTACCTGAAGAGATCAATCAAAATGACAAGGTCACCAAACCTCTTCCCACGCCCAAAACTGGCACCGTTGGGGATGGTGAGGAACCGTTTATCCAGAAGAGGATGCTCACTGTTATGAGCCTCAAGGAGTACAGCAGCAGGCTGAACCAGTCACTACCTTTCAACAGCACTGAGAGTGAGTACGTTCAAATGCGACCAAAGAAACCTCAGTACGTGAACGTGGATAGCGGTGCGTCGTCCTGCGCAGACTGCGACAGCAGCAGTGCCTCTAGCGGCGAAATTCCGAACCCAGCGGGGGACCTGCAGGCGATGCTGTCCAAACTGAGACTCCGCTCAGACAAAGGGAGCAAAATTATGCTACCTGGAGGCCCTCAGAAACCGGCGAGAACAGCACTGTCAGCTCATAGGTCAACCAAGAGCTCAAGGCACTCCCGAACTAAGGCCGTTAGCGGGCTGAAGGATGCTGCTGATCACCCGTCGCGAATTCGGCGCAGCTCTGAGCGTTCATCCAGTCCGGAGAATCGCCAATCAAAGGAACCTCACAAGGGCAGCCTGGAGCGAGGCCACGGCAGCCTCTCTCAGCGCGGACGCCTGCCTTCACCGACCGAATTCGGGTATGACATCGACAACGTGTCCAGTTTCCTGTCGCAGGCGACGCCACGCACCCCGGCCAACATCCCCATGGTGGTGACATGCAGCTCGGAGCTGTACGTGCTGAGTCCGGCCGCGGCGCCCGACCGGCCCACGGTCACCCTCCAGCTGGGTCTGGTGGTGAACGGCCTCTTCAAGCGGCGCCAGTGGGTGTACGTGCAGACCCCGCACAGCCAGGAAGGGTACCTGGCATACAGCGCGTGCACTGCGCTGGGCGTGCTCCCGCGCCGCGCCGCCGCCAGTCCCTGGGATTGGCAGCGCGCGGGGGAGCCGCTGCCACCCGCGCCGCTGCCGGGAGCTGCTGTCAGAGGACGCAGCTGGTCTCCGCAGCGCAGTCCGTCCGAAGCGGCCGAGCCGCACCCGAACAGAACCGACACCGAGAAACTGTACGAGAACGTGACCAGCGACGGCCGCGCGCTGGGCCTGCTGGTGCAGCAGCACGTGCGCCAGCAGCGCGGCCTGCAGCGGGCGCGTCGCGGCCACCTATCGCCGCAGACTCGCCACGCGTCCTCCGCGTTCCGGCGACTGCAGTCGGTGCAGGTGGCGCCCTCACGCAGCCGACTGCTGGCGCCGCCTAGCGGCCGCATGGTGGCGCCACGTACCAACAACAAGGCGGTGATCTGGGACGGGTTTACGAGTTTCGGCCGTAACACGTTGACCGTCCGGCGTGGCGATATCGTCATTCTGCTCAATACGTCTGTGGGGGACTGGTTCTGGGTCAAAGACGCCGACGGACGGGAGGGCTACATACCGGCCATCTGTGTGGGATCAGGTCTGACCTGAGTGACCTGACCTGACCCGGAGTTGGTCGTGATTCAGATCGGACCCTGCTGACGGTTAAACTGTATTGTTATCTCCTGTTGTACTTTTGAGTGAAGAAGAGGCTGTTGTTGATCTAAATCTGGTGATTCATGTACTTTCATAAAGCTCTGAGCTTTCAGTTTTCACTTGCTTTTATTTTGCGTCAAAGTGATTTTTGCATGCTTTAAAGTGTGTTCATTCTTTTCAGTCTTTGTGATTTTTGTGAGGAGTACGTGTTGTTTGCGCGATATTGTGAGCGGGGAGAAAAATGGCAGTCGATCTGCCAGCTGTTTAGATGGCCAGACGCATGGTGTCAGTATAAACCAAATATGAGATCGCTGTGATTGTACACATTTCCGTTGCTTGTTCTTAGACACGCATGCCGTTCATTCGTTGAATAAATTAGCGCGTAGCAACAGCATATTTATTGAGCTCGATGGCTTTGTAAGGTTCTAACACGTCACGCGAACTCCTAGCAACCGAGATCAATGGTTATAGTTGCATAACAAGGCACTGCAAACTCGAGGCCGGTAGCCCCTTTCTGCATTTAGGCGCTCGCACGCAGATGTTAATGCGTGGATACTAAAACTTTCACCAACGATCACAATAAGTGACTTAAGATCACTTCAAATCATATTGTCAGCGTATTGCTTGACTACACAGAATAGGCAGGGGAAAGAGCACATGGGACACAGGATAGGAGTCGCTTGGCATTGCACAAAAACTAACCGGAATCTATAGAATAGAAGTCTGGGAAAACAACTTCTGCATCAGTGATCACAGATGCCACATTCCAAGCCATCTGAATTGGCCATACCAAAGTAACGTCAGGTTCAGCTAAGCATACTCGTAGTCTTAAATTCTTCAACGACGTTTGAAGTCCTTTCAAAACTCGTTATGTTTGTTTATGCATGTTACGGGCTCCGGTCCCCGTCTGGCTAATGGCATGCCGCCGGTCGATTTTGGTGCGATGTTTTCTGATTTTATCACAAACCGCGGCCATTAAGACGTGTTGACGCCCGACTCCGTCTTGCCCCGTCCTGCTCCTTCAGTCTTGTCTCGGAGCCAGCTCCGTTGGACCAGCCCCGGTCGAACTCAGGCCACCGGCCCGGCCTGGTTGTAGGCCACGGCAGCAGCCATGTCGTCATACGACCCTCCGAGCTTGGACACACTGTAGGGCGGCGGGGCTGCGTACTTCTCCGGCAGGGCCTCCGCCTCCTCGCGCTCCTTCTGACGCACACGGCGAGACACCAGCCAGGCGACCGTGAAGACGAAGAAGGTGAAGCCGACCAGCACCCCTGTCACGGCCAGGCCGCGCACGAACGACTGACGGTGCAGCTCCTGTTCGCGGCGACGGCCGGCGCGCGAGATGCCCAGGACGCGCTCCAGCTCAGCGTCTTCAGCGGGCGGCAGGGTAGGCTCAGTGACGGCGAACATGAACTGGCAGCGGCCGCCGATGTTGCGGTAGCCGCGGAGACAGCCGCAGGTGGATTTCTCGGGCAGGCAGACGGAGTGCTCGTCTCGCGCGCGGCACTGCGGGTTGACCTCGCACGGTTCGCGCAGACCGCGGCGCGGCAGGCAGGTGTCCAGCCAGGAGGTGTAGGAGTCTCCGCAGCGGCACCGGCCGCTGACCCGGACATCACAGGTGGCATGCTCAGGACAGTCGACATCAGAATAACAGCGCCGCTGGCCGGCGACAGAAACGGCCAGCCCGAGCACCAGCAGCGCGACAAAACGCAGCATGGTCGGAGGTCGGGAACGTCGGACTGTCTTCAGTCAGTCACCGCGCAAGAGTATTCTCTTCAGGTAGTCACAGCTCGAAGGCACTCAGCGGTCGCGACACTCACACACTCATATCAGTCTGAGTCACTCACTGAGTCCCGGACGCCGACCCGAGAGGCAGCTCGGATCACGAGCGGCCGCGGTCGCCGCCGCCGGCCTCTGTAGTCGGCCCTCAGTCCTGCTTTGCCTTACCGTTTGCCACGTCGTCAGGCGGCTCGGCCGACGCCCGCTTGGCGGCCGATCGATGGGCCAGCCAGCCCTTGACGATCTCACGGACCAGGCGCGCCATGTTCCACAGACAGAGCACCATCAGCAGGAAGAACAGCGCCACCAAAATCAGCATACAAATGTGCAGGATGTTGAGGATGCCCTCATATTCACTGCGCCGGTGGCGCATGGTGCCGCCCCCTCCCGTTTCGGTCCGCCCCCTCCCGTTTCGGTCCGTCCCCGCTCGTTCGTTTCGAGCCGGGCCGGCTGGCATGGGGCCGCCGTCGGGCCTCCGTTACCATGACGACGGCCGGGCCGGGGTTTGTTGACGGTTTGCCGGCCCGCTGCCCCCCGACGGCCAGTGTTGTGACCCGGTGCCCCGTCTTCCAGCCAGGTAACATTGATCACGGGTCGACTGCATGGTGTGTTTGAACGCGGAAAGATACACCGGGCCTGGCGCCGGCACAGCGATATTAGCCGAACGTTACATACCTATACGCTAGAGACCCGTAATAGGTACAGGCCCATTGTGGATGCATGTTCATCAGTTGTGGTGGGGAGAGGGGTGTAGTTCTTATATTTGCATGGTGGAATGAGGGGAGGGGGGATCGCACGGACCTTGGTTCGCCTAGCCTAGTGACTGCACGGCTAACGATTTACGCTTCTTTTAGTAGAACAACTTTCCCGTTTTTTTACGTTTCCCGTTCAATCGAGCATGCTTATGTTTTTTTTTAAGCTGTATCCTATATGTCTTGGCAGACATTCTCAGTTGTTATAAACAAATTCATAGCATATAAACGAGCCGAAAAACGAGCGGCTCGTTTTTACGAGCCAAGCAAAAACAAGGAGGATAAAACTGTCCGTTTATGCTTCGCGTTAGCCCCAATACCTTTGAGCTCGATTTGGCAAACAACTGTGAACATGCAGGACACAGAAGAAAGCTCACACATATCTTGAAACATGACACACTCAAAAATGTTTTCGAGAAGGAATGCTCTCCTTAGTGCACGTTCTCTGGTCTATTTCCAAGCATGCATTTCCTCGGCATTCATCCTTCATCCCGCTTCATCCTTCATCCACAGACACATTCGACCAAGGCATGCGACACATGTCGCAAAGTCGGAGTACAAAACTCTAGGGCATTTTGTTTGCATTCAGAAAATTCAAGTAGATATGATTTGCGTGTAAGTTTTATTTACAAATTTTGAACACTATGACTTTCTTTTCCGTTCATTTTAGTTAATCAAAGTAAGAAATTACGAAACGTTACTTATAACATTCAGAACTCAGAATTTTCCCTAGCGTCAAACAAGTGCCAATACAGGATGGCCTGAGCTTTGAAGTGGATGGTACAGCGCGACCGCCAGTTATCCCACAAACGGGACATTTTTTCACACGCGCGCTGCATCGGTGAGTCAACGATTCACTGCAATGGTACCTTGTTCGTCACTTTGACTTTATGATTTAGTTACTTTGCACTATAAATAATCTTTTTAATCGTAAATTGCTTATATCGATTCACTTTCTACCTAACCCAAATTGCATGATATCTAAACTTAAACATGATTAGGTATTGATCAATATATGGTTGGGCTTATACTTTTTAGCGTAGCATACACTTACATTTTTGTGCTTATGACGGCGAACGTTTTATTTTTGGTTTGCTTTTTATCTTTTTGCCTTCTGTGAGAAAGTGGGCACACTTTAATTCACTGAATGCATGACAATAGTGTCACACGTTACTGACAGGCGACTTAAATAGGTATGCCTAGATGTCAATTACACTTATTGCGCTTTCAGTGATTCACACTCGAATTCACTTTCAGTGAAATTAAGTGATGGCACACTCGAGAAAATTATAACGCTACTTTATGTACCTACGTGTCTATGTTTTCACAGGACTAACCAACAGGTCGACTGTAAAAGAACAAGATGGCTGGTAAAAAGGTAATACTATATAATAAGTTATAGGTAACGACTGTTGCAATAAGCAACTGACAGATAACTCGCCTGATACCAATCGACTTACCACTACGAGTGCTCTGAAATTACAGTAACAAAACGTCTTGAATTTAATCTTTTTTTTCGAGTTCTAATGGAATAAAATGTAAACGTATTGTATGCATACATTTTAGTTACTTGTGACTTACTTTTCTAGGGCGGAAAAGACAAAAAGGAGAAGAAAGAAAAGAAGGAGAAAAAACCAAAAGCGAAGGGACGAAAAGGAAAGAAGGAAAAGAAGGAAAAAGGTAAAATTAAAAGAATTGGCAATTTGGCATGCTAGGCAAAGCACATGAATCTATTTCCGGTGACTACATTGGATACGCTGAAACGTCCTTTTATGTAGGCATTTCCATTTAGCGATCATGCACGCCACAAGTACGGTTATAAAACATGACAAAGTTTAGTCTCTCATATTATTCAGCAGTCAGCACGTCACACGTTTAGTGGCTGTTTTTTCTTTCTTCAGCCAAGGCGGACGCCTACAGCGCAGTGGCGATGGAGAATGCCTACTACATCTGCCACAGCGTGGGTGACTTCCTGCACTACCGCGGCTTCAAGTGGGCCGGCGCCGGCAAAAAGAAGGGCAAAAAGAAGTAGACATGAACTCGAGTGGGATCACGGTGTAAAACTTGCAATTTCTTTATGCTCTTTTACTTCTTCATTACTTCTTTATGACAGATATCAGTGTTAAGCCATACAGGGTTATTCTTTGCGCTCCGATATTGTTTATAGAAAGTTCTTCGAACAAATAGTTTTTAGGTGTGTCTTTATCGAACTTGCTTACTTGGCCAAAATGTGACCTTTATTGCAAAGATGCGAGTGACTTTCAATGCTAATTTAAGTCCCTATCATGTTTTATTTTTATTTTTATAAAGAAGTCTGTGCTAATCTCATGTGTAGCATTACATCGTTTTGTTGAAAGCTGTACGCATATTTGTTGTAAATCGTCAATATTGCAAGGTTATTTTCCCGTTAACAATTTCTGTTACATGCTAAATGTGCCTCTCGGTGTCGTCTTATTAATATGAGACGGAAACCTCCACCCCTTAATGTGGAATTTTGATTGTACTGCGTGCTGCGTTTGGCTGATACTGCGAACATGCATCAGCTTTTAACGCGTCTACAACCGACACATGAGCGGTCCAAACGCGGTTGGCTGATCGGATGTTATGCTGAATTGACTTCGGCATCCCTTACCTGGTGATCGTTATTGTTTTTTTTTTATTCTTCTCCAAATGGCCGTTTACGTTTCCCCGGAATTTTGTTGGATGAGGATTGGGCCCTTTTGACGCTGCTATGGATTCATGATGAAATAAAAATCAAATGTGCCGACTTAATTATGGGTTGCAACCAAAACGATCATCTCCTTTGTAACCATGTACTGTCTAACCTAGTATGGGTTAAGGTGTGCTGGGCAATACATTTCAATTCGTTTTTATGAGGCATTTATTTTGTTTTAACTAGGTATACTTCGATATGCCTAAAACGTGTTTTTATATTAGGTGTGTGGTAAAGAACACGGGTTTAACTTCCCGCGCCGGGCCAGGGGGTGTTTGAACACCCCTCCTGCGGTTTTTCGCAGATATCTCAAAAACGGCGGCGCTCCGCTCCGCCATTTTTGGCACACCTGTTCATGTACCTTTTTTACACATGTTGTGAAAATTTCAGACCCAGGGCTCTCAAGGTCAGGTCACCAGGTCAGGTCAAGTGACCTCACCTCTGAAAAAAGTTTCAATCCTCGTCATAGCTACACCGACTGAACGATCGCCTTGAAACTTTCAGAGATTGATAAGAGTAACAGTATGTAAGTACAAAATGTATATCTCGGAATTTTGCTATCGGTGACCTAAGGTCAGATCAATTTTGCGACCTGTCCATTATAAGTCAATAGAAGAAAATTGAAATGCACCTCGTTTGGACGAATGATGTTCAAAACCCTCACAAACGTCGTTTCATAGGTACCTAAATATGACACACTGAATCGAAAAATGCACCTGTCACCCCTCTGTGTGCCCCTGAGGTCATCTCAGGTCATGAACGGTCACCAGCAGTTTTTTTGGCTATAACTTTTGATAAAGACGTGCTAGAGCGATGAAAATACGTCAGATGTATTCAGCTCGACGATACGGATCGACTGATATGCATCATGACCCTTTCCGGTCAGGTCATGACATTGACCTGAGGTCAAATATTCAAAATGACCTTTCAAGGTCAACAAATAGTTCATTCGACGCGTCAAGGCAGTGGCGGATCCAAGGGGGGGGGGGGTCACATGGGTCATGGCCCCCCTTGAGGCCCGGGGCATAAAGACCTGCCAGGGGCACCCCGGCCTATCAGGGGTATCACAGTCCTGACAGGGGCACCACAGGACCGCCAGGGGCACCACAGGCCTAGCAGGGACACCACGGGCCTGGTGCCCCTGGGCCCTGACAGGACTGTAACGCCCCTGACAAGCCTGAAGTGTCCCCGGCAGGCGCGTGGTGCCCCTGACAGGCCTGAGGCGCCCCTGCAAGGCCGGTGGTGCCCCTGGCAGGCCTGTGGTGTCCATGGCAGGCCTGTGGTGCCCTTGCTAGGCCTCTCATGGTGCCCCTGACAGGCTTGTAATGCCCCTGGAAGGACTGTGGTGCCCCTGGGCCCTGACAAGCCTGAGGTGCCCCTGACAGGCCAGTGGTGCCCTTGCTAGGCCTGTGGTGCCCCTGGCAGGCCTCTGGTGCCCCTGACAGGCTTGCGGTGCCCTTGGAAGGACTGTGGTGTCCCTGGGCCCTGACAAGCCTGAGATGCCCCTGACAGGCCCGTGGTGCCCTTGTTAGGCCTGTGGTGCCCCTGGCAGGCCTCTGGTGCCCTTGCTAGGCCGCTGGTGCCCCTGGCAGACCTCTGGTGCCCTTTCTAGGCCGCTGGTACCCCTGCGCCCGGAGAGGACTGGTGCCCCTGAAAAGTCTGAAGTGCCCCTCGGCAGGCCCGTGGTGCCCCTGACAGGCCCAAGGTGCCCCTGCGAGGCCGGTGGTGCCCCTGGCAGACCTCTGGTGCCCCTGGCAGGTCTGTGGTGCCCCTGGCAGGTCTGTGGCGCCCCTGGCAGACCTGTGTTGACTGGTGCCCCTGCTAGGTCGCTGGTGCCCCTCACAGACCTGTGGTGCCCCTGGGCCTTGACAAGCCTGAGATGCCTGGCTATGACAGGCTCGTGGTGCCCCTGATAGACCAGTGGTGCCCTTGCTAGGCCTGTAGTGCCCCTGGCAGACCTCTGGTGCCCCTGCTACCCCTGCGCCCGGAGAGGACTATGGTGCCCCTGAAAAGCCTGAAGTGCCTCGCGACAGGCCCGTGGTGCCCCTGAGCCCTGACAGGCCCAAGTTACCCCTGCGAGGTCGGTGGTGCTCCTGGCAGGCCTCTGGTGCCCCTGGCAGGTCTGTGGTGCCCCTGGCAGGCCTGTGTTGACTGGTGCCCCTGCTAGGCCGCTGGTGCCCCTCACAGGCCTGCGGTGCCCCTGGAAGGACTGTGGTGCCCCTGCCCCTAGGGGTGCTCATGGGCCCAACAGGCCCGTTGTGCCCCTGACAGGCCTGTCGTGTATACTTACTAGACCTGTGGTGCCCCTGCTTCCTGGCAGGCCTGTGGTGCCCCTGGCGGGCCTGTGGCGCCCCTACAAGGCCGTAGGTGCCCCTGACAGGTTTGTGGTGTCCCTGGAAGGACTTTGGTGCCCCTGACAAGCCTGAAGTGTCAAGGGCAGACCCTTTAGACGCCAGGGTCAAGTTCGTCGGACTGACAACGATTTGCTTACCTGATAACGTTCCTGGCAAGTACTCACTACTCAGCGTCCACAACATATATAGGGGAGAGTGGGGAAAGATGCCCAGGGTTTTACTATGTCATATATTATTCGAAAATGACGATCGGAAAGCCAAAACTTGGAGTTTCAACGGAAGCCGACATCATTTTTTCTCCAAATATATCACACTTTCGTGCCTGAAATATGATAACTTTTTTTGCTATTTAACATTTTCCTGAAGAAGTGAAAGGGGGCATCTTAGCCCACAGGGTGGAAAAGACGCCCCCTGGCGTTGGGAAAGATGCCCCCTGCACTATAAGTGACATAAATGGGCACGTGAATCGCCTGAACAAATCAGTAGTCCCTTCGAGCCTGCAGTAGACACCAAACGTCATCGTAAGGGCCCTCAAAAGTAGTCGTAAGAGGCTTCAGAGGTCATCGTTAAAGGGACACTCCCACCTTAACATTAGTTTTGAGTTGAGATAGCCAAATTGGTGGCCATGGCCTGCAAATACCGGTTTGGGCACTCACAACATCGACAAATGCTTTAATTCGGAGATATGGAATTTCAAACTTGCAGTTTTCGGATTCTAAGGGGCTAGTGCATTGGTATGCCCCCTTAGAATTTGTGACGTCAGCGGAGATCTAACGATTTTTAAATCTTTTACTAAAACGTTTGGTAGCACGCGGTGGTATATGCTGCTTTGCGCGCAACAAATGCCGCACTTTCAAATAAAGTCGCTAGGAACAGCGGAGATCCCAAAAAGTAAACAAAAGTAAAAGTCTAATATCTTGAAAACCGGTGAATATTTTTCGATGAAATTTGGTAGATATTCGTTTTCGCTCTTTCTGAAGGAGGGTCCCTTTAAGGCCATCATAGTCCAGCGCGGCCAAACAAGCCTCCGTGGTGGCGTTCGGAGACCACTGTGGGGCCTTTATAGGTCTTCATGATGGTTGAGGGCCCTCGAGCCCATCGTGGGGACCTCAGATGCCAGCGCGGCCCGTGGAGCCAACGTGGGAGCCCTCAAAGGATGTCGTGAGGGGCCCTGGAGCCAATAATGGGGCCCATAGAGGTCGTCGTGAGGGCTCTCAGAGTCAGATGCCGCCCCAAAAAGTCGCTGTGTGTGCCGAGAGACCGGCATGGGGAGCATTCGACCGTACCGGACTCTCAATAGTCCCAGATCGGCTTTTGTCTCCCATCACAAGTATGTAATAAATGATTTGACAGGCTGCTTGAACGACAGCCTACGGATTTAGGGGGGCGTCTTTCCCCATCAGGACAGGGGGCATCTTACCCCAAGGTACCGAAGTAACATTAAATCAGCACAATTTGTTAGCCATAAAACTACACCCCGAAACAAACTGTTTGGGACACAGTACACGCATGTTAATGCATCACAACTATAGCAAGGGACGCAAAAATTACCTACCTTCTTTGATATTTACAATGCTTTGACACCAAAATATTTTTTTGAAAACAGCAAATAAAAAACATGCAATCACCAGCCAGCCGCTGCCCAGCTGAGCTTCGCAAATTTTCGTGCAGTTAACAAGGCAGGCTTCCGCTTTACGCTAAGAACATCAATTTCCAGGCTCGATTCTTTGTTTCGCCGCTAGAGGGGGTGGGGCGTCTTTCCCACCCTGGGCATCTAACCCCACTCTCCCCTACACATAGCACATTCATATATACTTGCTTACAATTGGTAGGGGAAAGTGGGGTAAGACGGGCACCTTAACTTTGGAGCCATTTTTCGGCCGGTTAGAAACATCATAGAAACGCGAAACTGTGTGAAACCCTTTTTTAGACATTTTACTTCCAATTGCCAGAAGATGAGACTTAGACCTGATTCAACAAATAAACTGCAGCTTTTTTTGCAAAACCTTGCAAAAACCCGTCTTACCCCGCCCCATGGGGTAAGACGGTCACATGGGTAGGGCAAGACGGCCAGGTTTTTTCACCGACCAGCACAGCTCGCAAGAAATGCCCGAGATTAGCCGCATTGATACAGTCGTTCGTTGGTCTCAAGTGCTTCAGAAATGGCAGTATACGAGATTCGTGCAGAAGGCGTATGCTCGTATATAGGCCCTAGTTCAGAAGCCATGTAGAACCGTTTTTCACATTCATTATTCGAGAATAAACTGTGCCGAAGGAATATTGCAAACATGTCTGTGAGTATCGGAATCGAACATATTCTTATTAGAAATGTTTCTTTTTTCCTACAGCAACAAAAATATTTTCACCATTACAGACCCATTGGATTCATAGTTGCCCGTCTTACCCCAAACTCAATGTCAGAAGTTCAGCACGATTTTTCTCGTGGATAATTTGATGCAGACAAAGCAAATCCGCGGTAAATGAACACTTGTGGCATATGAGTGTACCACGAGTGATTGCTAGTTTTTATCTCAATAGTGCTGCACACAAAAGCTTGCACAATACATTATGGATGTTTTCAATGAAATGGGTGTTTTAAAGAAATCAAAATAAAAGATCATCGACTGAACACAAATTCACCAGACTTCAATGGTGGTGTGTAGTGGGAAAGGCAATTCTGGCCCTAATTTTTCTCGCTCGTAGCGCTGTTGGTTTGGTCTGCAGAAGGGGTGCCCGTCTTACCTACCCTGACCGTCTTACCCCACTTTCCCCTAAATGTGGTTGTGGCTAAGAGTTAAGATACTGACTAAAAAAAAAATAAAAAGAAAAAAAAAACTGAAAATGGGGGCACCACCAAAATGAAGTGGACGAAATCCGTTGAGTTTTTAATTTTGGGAATAGGTAGGGGCACCACTTCGATTCATGACCCTCCCCTTGGAGTTTTCCTGGATCCGCCCCTGCGTCAAGGTCTGTAAAAGGACTATCGAATGCGCTTTTCCGCGGCGCTGTAGCTCTATTGGTTCACGAGTTTGCCGTGGGCAGTTTCCAAAATTGTTGAAATGGACTAGGTACATTTGACCTTTGATGACCTCTGGCGACCTCCTGACCTTTGACCTGACCCAAAAAATGACTGAAGTGTTTTCGTCCTTATATTTGACGTTCTTTCGAATGCCGCTTTTCGCGTGTCGTTACGTGGCCAAGGGCCGAGTTAGGCGGGGTGGGGGTGGGGGGTGTTCAGACCCCCCGGCCCGGCGCGGAAGTCGCGGAGCACCGGCCAGGCGCGGGTTAATAAAAAATGCATATTGTGGAACTGAAGAGAAAGGAAAGTGTACTAAATGCACTTTCTCCACGAAGCTCGGTAGTTCGTTGGGGCCTCGCAATTCCTCGCCAGTACCTATAGGCATGCGTGATGCTCCCCGCCAATTGTAGCGTATATGCCTTGCCCTTCTCCCCTGCCTGCAGCGCCCAAACGGCAAACGCCAAAAGTCAAAACCACTTTTTATGATTCCACGCACGGTCATAGAGTCATAGATACTCCACGACTCACGAGTCGAGTGACTAAAGGCGACTCAAAAATGTGTGAGAGCAGCCAGATTTCTGGGTGATTGGAACCCGTGTTAGGCAACTTGCGAGTGAATAATGTCGACTCTAAGTTTCTATTCTTATTTCTATTTCTACATTTTTGCCTGAAAATCCAACGTTAAATTGTCTGTAACAAGGCAACAAGAGAATGGTTCTCTTATGATCTTGTAACATTTTTTTATCATGCTGTTAAAAAACTGAAAATTTAAAAAGTACTTAGCAATTAGCATATCCAAAAGAGACTGTGAATGTTTCATAAACCACGCAGTAAATACAAATGTAGCGCAGACGGCATCTCCGCCGTCTCGCAGACGGCGGAGACGTAAACAGTGCAGTGACTGCTCCAGCTCGCCTTGGAGTAGTTGCCGTAGCTGCTATTTAAATTTGAAAGTTTTTCGGCAACATTTAGGTACCTGTTTTGGCTTTTAAGCTATGAGATAGCCTGGTTGATTTTGATGCATGGTTTATCACGATTTATACAGATGAAGTAAGATTCCGACCCTTTGGCGCCCGATAGTTTAAGTTCAAAGTTGAGCCAGTTTTTCGGGTTTAAATTTGTGAATGAATCATAAACTAAGTTAATAAACCAACTAACTAACTAAGAAACAAACTAAGATAATCAGTATCATTATCTTAGTTTCCTTATTGTTATTGAAAGTTAATCACATTACATCAGCTTACTTCAACCTGTCGTCATTTCAACTTTCAGTACAGTGTACACAATGAACAATCAGCAATTGTTTCCGGTTTTGGGCGTTCCACAATCTGCATTGATGAATTGAGGTAGTTTTGTACCTACCATGCTTGGTAATTACTCTTATGGTTATAAGTATAAGTATATGTAAATCTTGAAGTCCTTGAAGTCTTGTATATACGGAAGAAGGCGTACTGCCTCTTACTGATTGAGTGGGTATATGGCAGAGCTGGGTGAGGATGATCATGGCCCATGGGATAATTCAAGGTTATAATGCTTTGTCATCCAGTTCCTCGATTTGGTGGCATTTACTCCAATTGAAGCCTCTCACTCTTCAAAAACTCGTCCACTCTTCTTTTAAACAGCAAAGTTGATTTTGACCTCTATACACTTTGGCTTTGTTGTTAGTTCTTGCAGTTTGAAGGCAGAGGTTAAAGGTGTTTGACTGAACAATGCTTAGCTTTTGCAGGAAACTGGGTACCTATTTATTGTAAATATTTACCAGAAACTGAATTTTCTTTTACAAAAATGTTCCAATTTGTAGTACTGGCAGATCCAGTGGAGATAGCATGAGATGTTGTTGATTGTTGGGAGTGTAGCTAAGGTACTTCTCAAAATGGCTCTCATTTGATAAAAAACAGTCAGATTTTATTTTCCTATGCTGTGCTTTGTGGCTTAAAAGAAGCCTTGTCAGGGAAGTTTCAATTTTCTTTCTGTTTTGATTGGGCAATTTTACCACTTTGGTATATTATACAAGGGGTACCTACCCTGCAGCCGTTGAAAGTGTCTCCCTCGGATCCTTCAGTGTTGTTATAATCTATTAATGATATTGAGAGCATACTCAGATCTAAGTTCCATCATACATGATATGGAGAAAACTAAGATATTTGAATTACCTTCCATCATCAAATGTTGTTTTGTTTTATCAACTTAGTTGACTTTTTCAATAATAGATTGCTAAAGTCAGCCCTAAATAGAACTTATTGTAATGCTGTGTAGGCTCTGGCTGACTTCTAAAGATGATAGAGAACTGAGAAGAGAAATGCTGGGTTGTTGGGATAATTTATTATTATCCAGAAACCCTAGCATATCTAATAATTAATATCTACATCATTGATAACAGGCATGGTCACAGTTGAGGGATGGGCTGCATCGAGCTGTAATGGGCATATTTTGTCTGTTTGTCATGGATTGTGGTGTGGATATAATACATATTGGCAAGGTTAAGCCATTTTGTTGCTGATTGGGTTCAGTCTTTAGCCTGAATCATGGGATGTTTTTGCAGAAATAGTAGGTAGTGTTTCAAAAAAGGGTCCTGACTGCCATTGTTGTTGGTTTATCCATTGCAGTCACTGTTAATGTTTTTTTTTTTTTACAGAACATTTAAGATGGCTGAAGCAGAGGAGGAGATGGAAGCAAACAATCTGCATGAGGTATGTGTGAGTTTTGCTGTGTTAGCCATCTGGAGCAAGGTTTTCCTGAACAGGGGCAGTTGACTAGTGTTTTTGGATAGGTACTTACCTTGTAAACATATATGTCACTGGTAAATGAAAAATCTTTCTTAACGTGTGTTGCTAGTTACTATGCTATCATAATTCATAGGTTTTTCATACGTCTTGCCTTAATGTTGTTGTCATTAGTCATTCCAACACATAAGGTAGTAGGACACCTTGGTAGTTGTCTTGCCATTCCTTTGTATAAAGTGAGTCACAGATAACAGTAGTACTGGATTGGAAACAGGATTCCGGTGGCTGCAGTAAGAGGCCGAAAACAGAACCGAATATATCGTGCCCATATTTCGATATCTCCTCTCACAGGCAACAAAAAATATTGGTTTATGTGAATGAAACTTATAAAGAAGCAATCGACTAGCCGTGCTTGTGTTTATTGCTGCATTTTTGCATAATGGCAACTTATTTTACTAAACGTTGCTGGTTACACTTTCCTCACCGTGGTGAGGGAACGTATGCCACTGATTTGATTATAATGATTTCTCACTCTCATCCACAAAAAGTACTTGTACATACATGGGAGTTTGATCTCTTTATTTACATGCTAATCGATACCAGTCCTGTCACAACGAACCATCCAAACGTCACGATTCAAACCAACGTCACAAAACACCCCTTCAAGTGTCACTTCGCTTCGCCTGCCCTCCCAATTTCGTCAGCGACCTTACTTCCCCGCCTTACATCTTCTTGACCCTGCTGAGCTTTGGCCTCTTGTCGGTCCTCGATCGGGTTGCACCAGTGGCTGGGGTGTCTGCTTCCTGACTTTCGATGGACAGCGCTGTCTTGAATGCCTGTCTCACTTATCAGTTAACATGTTTCCACACTTTCCAGCAAATAGATTGAAAACCGTCGCATACATCTCTGGAAGGAGGCTCCTAAGGACGTCGTGGCTATCATTGTAAACGACTTCCGGTCAGTTCGACATCTCGGTTTACGACTATCTTCGTCATTTCTGCGTCACTTCTTGGTTGATCGCAGACCAGCAGCTGGTACCTGTTAGCTTCCGTCTTCGGCAGTTGCCTCCAAATCTGGCAGATCCTCACGGTGAGGTCGATGTCTCCCTTGTCTTTCTCCAGTCGTACCTCCAGCGGCGTAGCCCCATGATAGATCAGCAGGCTGGCGGAGGCACCGTACTTGTTACGCCTGGTGGCCGAGCGCAGAGCCGAGCGTGCCAAGGCGCCGGAGCTGTGTCCCAGGGAGGCCTTGGCGCTGTCATCCAGGTCCTCCATTTCAGTGGCTTTCGCCACCGCCGCCACTAGCTCCTGGATGACAAGAGCACCATCCTGCTGTCACTCCTGCTGTGATGGTGCCATTCGGGCGGAGGCGTCGGTCGGGCTGAAACGTGACCAGTGACCCGGAGTACCGCCTCATTCTCCAGGAACTGTCGGACACTCGACCAGTTGTAGTTGCCACCTGATAGCTGATATTGTCATTCGTGAAAAACGCATCGGTCTGGCCCTTCATAACCTGCTTCTGGTGTGAGTGGCGTGCGGATGCCATGGCGTTTCGCTGGCCGCTCGTGCACAGGGGGCATCGCGTAATCCACGCTGGTCAATACTGACAGGGCTGCGCCGCTCTTGAGCCGACGGCGCTGTCTCTGCATGCCGGTGCGAAATGACCGATCTTCTTCGAAATCTTCCTTTCTGAAATGCAGCTCACACACAGCGGAATAGTCCTGATCCCACTCAGCCCGGTCACGGTGACCCATGGCGCCAACCCACTGAGCCCGTAGAGATGTTTCGGTGAGAAAAGCGAATAGGTGGCATGTGAGACATCTCCTGTTCTAATCTTTTGTTCCTCTTGGTTCGTTGGGTTGTAGCCAGAACGGCAGGTTTTTACCACTCATTCCCCTCCTCCATTGTTGATGTACCTATACGTATGTAAGGCTTTGCACCACAATTTTTTCAAAAGAAAACACCACGCATTGTGCCCTCTAAATGATCAAATTAAAAGTGAAATACTTTAATTTTCAAGCAAATGAAAGTAATTTTGGTAGCTTCGATTTTAAACGTAAACGACAAAACGCAAAAAAGACGATTTCTTGCAATACACAACACACAAATTATCCACCCAGCAGCACGCGAGAATCTCATTTTGGCGCCGTCGCATAAAAACATTCGGCCTCTTACTGCAACTGCCAATATTCTGTTTCCAATCCAGTACTACTGTTATCTGTGAGTGAGTTAAAATTGTATTAGTCATTAGGTATGTATCTTTATTGTGTTTGTTGCTTTCATGGCATGACACAACATGACGTTGATATATGGTGATTACTTATGTTTTCAGGAGCCAACAATAGACGATTTTGAAATACTCAAACCAATTAGCAGAGGAGCATTTGGAAAGGTGTTCCTTGGCTACAAAAAGGGACATCCAGAACTGCTGTTTGCTATCAAGACTGTGAAAAAGTCTGAGATGGTCAACAAGAATATGATGGAGCAAGGTATGCATGTCTGATACTAAGTTGTGATTTGCTGTCAGAAATACTTTAACCTTCCAGTTGTCTTCCAAATGTTAAGCTGAAAAGTTATGTCATTGTTTTCTCACAAGGATGCATAGCGATAGCAAGCATCCCAAGAATAATTTTCAGTTTAATAATTCTCATGCAACAGCTCCGCCAATAGGGCCGCATCGTCCGTTAAATTCCTCGTAACTTTTCTCACAAGGATGCATAGCGATAGCAAGCATCCCAAGAATAATTTTCAGTTTAATAATTCTCATGCAACAGCTCCGCCAATAGGCATCGTCCGTTAAATTCCTCGTAACTTCTCACTGTATGGCCTTGGGTATATTCTTACCTTATTGACACGAATATTCTCCCAAATTGCCTCTAACATTCTCGCTTACCTAGCTCTACACACCGACCACAGCACTGTCTCATTCGCTCTGCCAGCTCTGCCAGTTGACAGTGGTGACCGAGCGTGACGCACTAATTCGCTCTGCCGGTGACCGAGTGTGACGCGCTGGCCCACTGATTCGCTCTGCCGCCCTGTTGACAGTGGTGACCGAGCGTGACGCGCTGGCCCTCCAGAGGAGTCCGTTCTGCGTACAGATCTTCTACTCGCTGCAGTCAGCCAACAGCATCTACCTGGTACGGTCGATGTGCTCTGAGAGTGGGAGCGAGGGATCTGTTTGGTCCATGAGCTTCATTCCAGTTGCGCGATGTTTGAGAGGCGCTATTCTGAATGTCCTAAGGCGCTATTAGTCCGGTAGAAGTCAATGTGTCGTCTCAGAAGCTCAATGTGGAGAGTAGTGGAGAGGGAACCGTGACACCCTGCGTTTGGAGGAATCGGTTACACCCTGCCGCCTGCGTTTGGAGGAATCGGTTGTGGATTAGGCAACGTCATGTCCATTATAATTGGGAGCGTTTATATCCGAATATGTGTATGCGTGAAGCTGTCGGCTCTCAGTTCAGCTGTTACAATAATTTTTCGATTGCGATAGCTGATTGGTGGGCCTATCTCAGGTGATGGAGTATCAGCTGATTGGTGGAGATCTGAAGTCCCTGCTGGGACCTCTGATTGGTTGACTGACCGTCCACTCGCAGGTGATGGAGTATCTGATAGGTGGAGATCTGAAGTCCCTGCTGGCCATATGCGGCTGTTTCGAGGAGTCCATGGCTGCCTTCTATGTCGCCGAGGTGGCGCTGGCGCTGGACTACCTACACTCGTGAGTGATTTCGTTGCTGAGCGCTGTTGATTGTCGATAACACCAAAAGACACCCTTACCAGCTGCAACATTTGTGCCATGGTGTTATCTTTATGGTCATTTGAACTTTCGGAATTCAGGATTCTGCCGTAGTTCAGAGGATGTGATCTTCGATGTGATGTATCATGTAATTTATTGTGCTATCGGTTCTGTTTTGTCTTAAGGACTGAGACCGGCGAATTAAATTGCTTCTGTTTTCAGTTTGCCACAGCCAGTGCTGACCCTCGTCCTCTCATTTCCAGGCACCAGATTATCCACCGGGATATAAAGCCGGACAACATGCTTCTCACAGCGCAGGGTCACGTCAAACTGACCGACTTTGGACTGAGCAAAATCAACGCGCACAAAGGTGGGGTCTAGGACGTAACCGGTAGCCTAGTCTGATTGGGCACTTAGTAGGTTAGAATGTGGATGAAAATGTAGTTTATGTCTATCAGCTCGCACTCGCTATCGTAGTTGATGCTGGATCCTAAACAAATGCTTTTTAGGATCGTCATGGGAATTACCTTTCATCATCTGTGATGTACGATAAGTTCAGGTTAGTTGGTTATGTTCATAGGAATGTTTTCTATACACGTTTTAGTTTCTCATTACGCTGTGTGTCTGTGTCCGCAGAGATCTCCGTGATGGACCTGTTACGGAGCACGCCGACCGTGGTCCGTACCAACCTGCTGCGGACGCCCGGGCAGCTGCTGTCTCTCACCTCCCACCTCTCATTTGTGAGTACTTCTCTCCCCTGGTCACACAGCTGTTGACGCTCACCCCTACCTCTCATTTGTTAGTACTCATCACCCATGAATGAAGCAGTTTATGGCTTGTAAAGGATATAAGTCAGCTTATGTATTTTTTGTCGATGTTGTCTTTTTTTTTTAACTGAGAAGTTCGTCGGGCTGGCTATGGGCCCGAGCGTCACGCCACGTTGCTTGCGAATGACACCACCACGGATCACCTAAATTGTCACGGATCATTATGTGATCCGTGACACCACGGACCCTTTACCCGATCTCGTCCACATCCCATTCACCGGTGACGATTCTAACCGGAAGTTGAACGAACTGCTGTTAGATGGCGGCACGATCCTGCCGCGGACAGCGTCGAGCTTTACTTTAAGTAAATTTGTAGTTAACTCAATGATTTCAAGGTTGTTTGTTTCTTTTGTATAACAAGTCAACCTCCCTCCCACACGCTGCAGAACTCTGAGGCCAGCTCGATGGAGGTGGGCTGCTGCGACACGGTGGACGGCGGCTCCCTGGCCGCCCTGGACGCCGGCTCCTACTGCGGTGTCGGTCACCACACCAGCGGCCTCCCCGCCGACTCCAGCACCACTCCGCCTCCCATCGCCCGGCTCACCCCGCGGCTGGGAGCCGGCTCCGACTGCGGCCTGCCGGCGCCCACCGCGCCGCTGGGCCTGCTCACCTCCACCCCCGAGGGACGGCCGCCCACCCGGCGCGGCTACCACCGACCCACCCCCGACCCGCAGCCGCCGGCCGACCCCTTCCTCCGGCCACTCAAAAGGAGCCGAATCGACTCGGGAGGAAGCCCCCGGCGGACCGGCCTCACGGCCGACCTGGGCCGGGTGCATCTGTCCGGTCCGGCGCCCTCCAAACTGAGTCGGATGGCCGCGCCACCGGCACCCGCCAGCCGGCCGCCGCTGAGGACCGTGTGCTTCAACTCTCTGGCACAGACGCCGCCGCGGCGGGGCGGGCCGGCCGTGCGCCGTCCTTGCAGTCTGGGCTCGCCCATGGAGGTGTCCTTCGACAAGGTGACACGCAGCACGCCGGCCACGGTGAGTGGGTGGGGAGTGGTGGACGAACGCACCGTGTCCTGGGCTTGGAGCGTAGGATATGCTCTATGTCTGCCTGTTGGGGGAGCTCGGGGTGTTGGGTTCGATGTTGTAATCTGATGAACGCCTAATTCTAAAGTTGTGTACTCAGTAACTTTTTAGGGAAGCTAAAGATGTGCTTGGTAAATTACTAGATAAACTCCCTATCTACCACACATTGTGCTTCGGGAGTGATCAGTCGCCAATTGTAGTGTGTGCTGCTAGCCTGTCATACTCATGTCACGCACCTCGAGTCCACCCACCACCCCGCTAACGCCCCTGCCCTTCTCTCCCCTCCAGCCTGCTGGGACGGCGCGCACCACCTCCATCCCCGCCACACCGCGCACGCCATTCCGCACGCCCAAGTCAGTGGCGCGCGGCCGGCGACCCACCGTCGAGTCTCGCATTATCGGCACACCCGACTACTTAGCTCCGGAGCTGCTACTGCGGCTCGGCCACGGCGCTCCTGTGGACTGGTGGGCACTCGGGGTGTGTCTGTTTGAGTTCATGGCCGGCATACCGCCCTTCAACGACGAGACGCCAGAGGCAGTCTTCCAGAACATCCTCAAACGGGGTGAGTGGGGTTTGTTTGAGTTTTTTTTTTCTGGTTTCATTCAACTTCATGTGTGGTGCGGTGCGGACAGGGTTCGGACTTTGAAATGGTTTTGTTCAGTATTTATCAGCTGCTGGCACATGATGAGCTTTTTGTATCGAATTTATTTCATGGGACAGCTGATTACAACCGCATTACATTGGTTCTTTGTATCCTGTTTTTACATTGCTATCAAGGGTGAACTTTTTTAGTTATGTTGATCTTCTTTTCATCCTGTTACTGATATGAAGATCAAGCTCATGTGATACCCTGTTTGGGCGTTGCCATATCAGGGAACAATATCATTATCCATCGGCTGTCCGCAGACATCCCCTGGCCGGAGGAGGATGAGAGCTTCTCCCCCGCGGCCGGCTCCGCTGTGGACGAGCTGCTCTGTTTCGACCCCTCCGAGCGGCCGGCGCTGGCCCGGCTGCGGGCCATGCCGCTGTTCTCTGGTCTCGACTGGGAGAGACTGCTGGAGCAGCCCGGGCCGTTCGTACCGGCGCCTGATGACGCCACAGACACCACCTACTTTGATCGTGAGTTGGAGAGGGAGGGAAAGAGGAAGGCAGGTGTCGTGGGTGTTTATTTAGTAGGAAGGAGGAAGGAGGGAAGAAGGGAAAGCGGATTTTGGGAGCTGATTTTGTGTTCGCTGGTCCGTTTTGTGCCACATACATGTTTTTTTTAGATTGGCAGTTTGCATGTTGTATAAGAATAAGATGCAGTTATTATCCCTTCAGACTGATACAACACGCTGATTATGTAATCATTTACGCATGTTAGCTTTCGACTACCGATTTCTGGTACTAATTCTTATTATTCTGTCTGTTTCCAGCACGGAATAATCTGCAGCACCTGACAGTCTCCAAGTTCGACGCGTAGCGACAGGCCCGAGGTGTCCCCCGCCTGCCGTCGAAGTTCAGTGTCGTGTGAGGAATGATAGAGCTTATACGGACGCGAGTGAGTACGACATTTATGTTTTATCCACTGCTTTTATTAATGCGGTAATGCCGGTGGTTTTTGAGATTATACTTGTGTATCATTTCTCAGTGCGGAGAGGCCGTGCAGTGCTTCTGTGAATTCATCGAACCTTTGAGTTATCATTGGGTCTGGATGTCCTCTTAGACTGTGCGACTGACAGCGTGCTCATCGCTATAGCCTACCACTAGTGATCGCTCAGCGTGTGTGTGTGTCCGTCATCAGTTTTCATTAGCATGGTAAGGGTCCAATGTGTCCAGTGTGTACATAAGTGTGTCCACGGGGAGGGCTGGTTTTATCACATTGTTGGGCTCTCTGGTAGTCGACAAGAGGGGTGACGATGCTTGTCTCGGTCAGCCCTGGGTCAAACGCGGTCTTGCAACCTGAGATTCTGCCGAGGGGATTTGGAATGGTACCGTGTTTGCCAGATGGGTAATTTGGTCGGTCATTTGGGTGAAGACTCGGCTAGTTGGAGGCGCGATGATGGTTTGCACGTGCCTTTCCATGTTGTGAAGGGGAGGCTTGTCCATAACGCGTCTTATGAAATGGGCGAGAGCTGCAGAGATTATTTTTACGCTTGTTTAATCCGTTTGTACCAACTTTGTGTACCAGCGTGTGTCTTGCCTCACAATTTGTAGCGTGTGTCACAACTGAAAACGATCGATATGTGCATGCTATTATATATCATAATCCTGAAAATCGTTTATCAACAACAGGGATACGTTTTGGGTTCAGGATAATGCTGGCTCATGGCGGATGGTGATCCTCATTTCGATGTCATTCATTGGATGGCGGGATGGAATAATTCAATGCTGCACCATCTCTGCCGTGCAAAGGTTAAAACCATTATGTCGGGTCAGAGGCCATTACCTCAGGTCAGAAATTCTGCTAAGGATCATCCTGCATTGCTTTTGTGTATGTACTTTTCGCATGTATTTTGGAATTCTCCTTTTTCTGTCACGCACTCCGCTGAGTGAAATTAGAAATGGTGCCAGGGAAGATGCAACGACGCCACACTCTTGGCCTCGGCGCTGCCCGTGCTGGCGCAGCCAGTATGCAATGCTATTTGATTTGCTGCTCCTTCTCTGGTCGACAGTAAGAAGCTAGCTGCCGTATCGCATTCCTCTAAATTACACTCTTCACCGTCCTCTAATACACAGTGCGGTATAGTTCGTTCGTGTACTTCTACATCATATAGCACACATACATACGGGGCTGTTCGGCCCCCTGGAATGAGCCCTCCCTCGACTCCCCATCACTGTAGTCTGTGTGGCGTGGACGGCATGCTTGGAGCCATGCCCCTGGAGCCTATCTTGCCCAGGGTATACGGTTCAGAGTTGTGCGTTCCGCCCCTGTCTGGGACAACAGCGGTCGACTGCACAGATGGGACGCCACCGGCCCGGGCTCGCTACACAGAGCTCGCGACACCATCTTTCTGCCGTGGCCACGCTTAGTTGAGGCAAACGACCAATGAAGCAGACGATCCACATATAATTGTACAGGGTCCGTCTGTTGGAGCTATTTCCCTGACTTAAAATAATGCGGAAATAATCACAAGCTCTCGTCTCGTGTTTTAAAGGTATCGACATTGAAGTCCAGCTTCTCAATTACAATAATGCGGTGTTCACATTTACAGCTATCCCATGTTTTAAAACAATCACCTGTGATAACGAACTTCCGTCTCACGTGTTATAGTAATGCGTCAATAATGCGAGTTTATCTCCTGGGTCTGCGATGACACAAATCCTGCAGGGTCTCTCCTAATCTCTCATTCCACCGGGTCCGGCACAGCTGAGACAATTCTTCAGTCGCACACGGCATTTCTCCCTCTGCGGGGCGATCACACAGGCAGTTGCTGACGCCTGCCGCGTGCAGGCCGGCCTGTGTTCCCGCTGCAGTTTTCAGCCTCTGTGTCGGTGCCGCCCGGCCGGTGGCGGTCCCCTGGCGCCGCTAGTAGCTGCTCTTGTTGCGGTCGATCCAATCGCGCATCTCGGAGACTCTTGTGTAGACGCCGGGGTACTGAGCCTTGCCGCAGCCGATACCCCACGAGACGACGCCCACCTGGTACACCACGCCGCTGATATGCATCAGCGGGCCTCCGGAGTCGCCCTGCGGTGCAGAGGGGTCGCGGGTCAGTGAAGGGTCGCGGGTCATCACATGATATGATGGTCCGGATTAACCGCATCGCTGTTTACGCCAGTACCACAGCAATTACGGTCATCAGCGTTCGGAATGTTCATCATATAGGAATTAATCTTTCTCGGGTGCGCTGTTCAGTCTATCATACAAGATAGTTGGTGTGCATATTCTTTGTCTTTGACAAAGACGCCAACGTGGCATGATGTGCAAAGCGTGACTTGTATCGGGAAGTGCATTGGGGTAGCCCTGACATCATAAAGGCTAAGTATTGTCGCAGAGTTGTAGAAGCACACCACGCAATGAGACTCCTGACGGCATACTCACACTGCACGAGTCCTTGCCCTGCCGTCCTGCGCAGAGCATGGAGCTGATGATACCTCCCGGCGCCGAGGGGCCGTAGGTGCTACGGCACTTTGAGTTGTCCCACACCTTCAGACTGACCTTCTGCATAATCGAGGCCTGTCGGCCGCCTAGACAACAGAGACATTCAATATTATCAGTGGTTTCGGGTGAGCGGGACAACATGCGTTTTAGATGAGAGTGAGAAAGAATGAGGGTTAGACCATGACTACTGAAGTCGAGTGGTTTTACTTGTGACGGCTTAACCTTCGCCCCAGTGGGGGGGGGGGGGGGCATATGTTACCAGTTACCACCCTGTCGCGTTTTTTGCGTGTGAATAAAAAACCGCGGCGCGTAGCGCCGCGCCGCTTGGGGTAGCTTTTGGTACATCAATTTTGGACAATGTGTGAAATTTTTGACCCCAGGTCATGACATGACCTGTTTTAAACATGACCTGACATTGTCAGGTCAGGTCACCAGGTCAAGTTAACTGACCAAGCCTAAAAAGAAGTTTGCAATCATGTCCAGCCTACAGTGTTTGTCAGAAAGGTTTTAAACTTGGTGGATTGCATGCTGTTATGGGCGCCCACAATTTGTATATCTCGGATTTTTTATATCCGTGACCTAAGGTCAGGTCAGTGGCGTGACCTTTCCATTACAAGTCAATGGAGAAAAATGAAAATACCTGTAGATCCGGTGTACGCATAGGAACAGTCCAAATATTTCAGAATCACAATGATTTAGTCCACTCGTGATGACCAGGGTGTTATTTTTGCTGATAGCCTCTAGAAAGGTCATCCGAGGTCATTTGAGGCTACAAACACTTTTTTGCCAATAACTCGCGATTGGAAAGAGATAAAACGCTGGGGATGGTCTCATTATGTTTGTCTTGTTGAGACGCATCGACTGATATGCAACATGACCTTTTCCGGTCAGGTCATGACCTTGACCTGAGGTCAAATTTTCAAGTTGACCTTTCAAGGTCAAATTATAGTTCATTCGACGCGTCTTGGCGAGGGGAACACGATTCTGGCAATAGAAATGTCGTGGCTTTATGTAGTCGAAAGTTATTGTCGAAAAATACTTTTCGTAAAAACAGCTATTTTTGGAGTTTTTGCCCTCTGGAGGCTAAACCGTTGACCTGAGGTCAATATTGATAATGAACTTTTCAAAAGAAGAGTTCAAAAGCTAACGATTGCTTTTCCATGCGTTTTCTAGCTACCATAGTTCCTGAGATAGCGGCATGTTTTCTGAAAAATATAATGACAATTGGCAAATTTTGACCTTTGATGACCTCTGGTGACCCCAATATTGCTCTAAGGTGAAAAATGACCGAAATACTTTCCAACGTACGGATTGAGAGCTATCGACTGCTTTTTACCGCGTCTTTCTAGCCCTCTTAGTTTTTGAGTTAGAGGTGGGTGGTAACATATGCCCCCCCCCACTAGGGCGAAGTTGGCTGAGACCGCCACTGGGGCGCGGATTAAGTAATAGGTAGGTATTGTTTTTACCGGAAGACCCATGAGTATTCAGGAATCAATAATTTCTCAGGAATCAATAATCCCGTTTCTATATTATTACAATTTTCAGACGACAAACCGGTAGCTTTCCCCATTGAGCTCAGGCTCTTACGTAACTCACCCTCTCACAGGCTGCCCCAGTCAGTAGTAAATCCCTTTTCCCCTCTCCCGAAGTAAGCCACCCTCTCGCAGACTGCCCCATCCCATCAGGTACCTAAATCACCCTCCCCCAGCCCTCAGCCCTTGCAGGCAACAACTCACCCTCTCGCAGACTGCCCCAGCCCATCAGGTAATTCACCATCCCGCAGCCCTCAGCCCTCGCAGGCAACAACTCACCCTCTCGCAGACTGCCCCAGCCAGTAGCAACTCCCTTCTTCTCTCTCCCGAAGTAACTCACCCTCTCGCAGACTGCCCCAGCCCATCAGGTAGGCCTAATTCACCCTCCCGCAGCCCTCAGCCCTTGCAGGCAACAACTCACCCTCTCGCAGACTGCCCCATCCTGCCACGGTGACGGTCTGCCCGGCGGCCCCGCGCGACACACCGCTGTCCAGGCATATCGGACGGATGTTGGACTTGTACTTGACCGGCTTACTGAGCGTGATCAGAGCGATATCCGTGTGCTGTGGGAGAAAATATAATGGGTGGGTGAATCTCAGAGATTGGGACTCGCTAAAGGAGATACTCGTATGCAATGTATGCAATCACACAGCCTCGCTGACTTTCGGGCGATTTCCGTCCTGCAGGCATCATTCTCTTGTAGCCGCTTCAAAATCACAATCACAATCACAATTCCCTCGCTATAACCCCCAACAAACAAACAAACAAACAAACAAACAAACAATCCCTCGCAATCGGCTGCTGTGCTCCCTCCCTACTAATGTATTCTTCGTGAACGATATGCTAGCTGTTATCACAACCCAACGCAGTCGAAGTGCTACTCATCCCTCCTGCTACAGCCCTGTCCGCTGTGTTGCACTGACCAGCGTTTTCTCGGAGAAGCCCTTGTGTCGGACGATGCGCGCCACCTTGTACGTCTCGTGTTTGGCCTCGAACGGCGTGCTGACGTCATAGTCGCCGAGTCGTATCAGTAGCTGGGAGACGTCGTACGAGCTCATACTGACGGTCAGAAAGGAGAAACATCGTCAAGGGTTAGGGCCTTGGTCAGGGAGATGCGACAAAAGTCTTATACGCTTATACCGTTTTTCTCGCACGGAAGCTGTTGCAATGTCTTGCCGCCGAAGAGGAAGTCCCTGACTCATGCGTTCTCTAACTTTTCCCATTACATTCCGAATGAGTTCACCACTGTACCATTATACGCCATTGTACCATTGACGATCATAACACAATAATCGTGCGCACAATAATCTGCTGATGTTCTAAGTAGCGCAGTAGGTAATTTTAACGTTATACGCAAATCGTCAGAATTATTGTATGGTACTGGGCTACTGCCGATGCATGCTCACTGTCAAAAGATGTTCAAAATTCCCATCCCAGACGGGTAAGCCGCATTCCATTTTAACGCGTCAGCAAAACGCGAGCCCCTCTCTTTTTTCCTCCTCCCCTCTCCCTATTCACTGAAGGACGCGGTGAGCTGTATTGAGAATGTGCGTCTCTCTGAGCCCTCCTTCCCGCCTCCCTCCTCTCACTCCCTACTCACTGAGCAACGCAGTGAGCTGCCGTGAGAATGTGCTTCTCGTCAATCAGTGATCCGCCGCAGAACTGACGACCGTTCTTGAAAATACCCGCCTGAAATAGATCCCCGTGGGTCAGACACGGTAATCGAACCATAGTCGAACGCCCGTGCGTGGTTCGGATAAACATGCGTGAGTTGATGCGTGTAGCACTGATGAGGGAGCTGTCAAAACATGCTGATTAAATTCGTCGGTGATGAACTGTGAAGGCGAGCACGGCGAAAGAACTGACAGCTACGCAAGGTGTTGAGACAGCAGTGGGAAGAGTCTGGTTGTTATGATTCGTACAGAGTACAGTCTGTCTTAAAAGTACCGCGCAAAGTGACGGTGGATCCATCAAGCCTGACCGATGAAGGACTGCCAAATTTGAGTCATCGAAGCAATGGACATCCTCGTCCATTCCCCAGCTCCATTGGTTCGGTGACTTTCAAATTATAGCAGGCCCTTCCTCGGTCAGGCTTGATGGATCCACCGTCACTTTGCGCGGTAATTTTAAGACAGACTGTACAGACGTTTAGTCATCATGTTTGATCTCCATTTTGATATTCACGGTTTTAAGGAGTACAGGTGAATAAAAATATAGAAAGCAATTCTTGTCGGACTTACAAGTGCTTTGTTAACAAAGTTATATAACAAATCATAACTTTGAGAAAATCTCTAGCCTTACGATAAGGGCGACAAGGGAGTTTCGCAAGCCTTCAAGTAAGTCAATCATACAGAATACCACTTACCAGCCAGGGGAACTCGCCCTGCACGGCCTGCTTTCCGCCGACGATACGATCCGAGCCCTCGGGATCGCGCGTGCCACACGAGTACGGTCCGCCGCCTCCGCCGCCTCCAGAGGCCGGTGGCGCCGCCGCGGTGGTGCTCTTGGTCGTGGTCGCCCACCAAGCCGTGGTGGTGGGCCGTTTGGTGGTCGTGGTTCCCTTGGTGGTGGCCGTAGTCGCCCACCAGACCGTGGTGGTGGGTTTCTTGGTGGTGGCGGTGGTCGCCCACCAGGCGGTGGTTGTGGGCCGCCGTGTGGTGGTCGTACCACGCGTGGTGGTGGTGGTCGCCCACCAGGCGGTGGTGGTGGGACTCTGGACGGTGGTGGACCCGGACGGTTTCTGCCACGGGTGTGTGGGTGCCGCCGGCGGCCGGCTGGTGGAGCCCCGAGTCGCCTGCCAGGCGTGTGTGATGTACGGCGGGTGGAGGGTGGTGCCGGCCGGCTCTGTCCGCTGGCTGCTGGCCGCCGGCTGCTGCTGCTGCCACCAGGGCACCGTGGCCGGCCGGCGGGTGGTCGTGGTGGTGGTGGCAGACGGCGGCGGGCTCCAGGTGGTCTGCCACCACTGGGTGCCGCCCGGCGGCCGGGCCGTGGTCGTGGCCGGCGCGGACGCCGCCCCCTGCCCCGGACAGCAGACGCCGCGCACGCTGGGCTCGCCGCGCGGCGAGAACGAGTCGGTGGAGACGCAGGCGCCCAGCGTCCTCACCAGGCTGTTGAAGTCGTCCTCGGAGGACTCACGGGTCCACCGGCAGCTGGAGCGCGCCAGGCACACGCCGCTCCTGCGGGAGAGAGGGCGGAGGTCAGATACACACCGCTGCTGGGGAAAGGAGGGGTGAGGTTATGTCATGATTGAGGGGTGAGGTCATGCCTCTCCTTGGGAACGAGGCCTTAACATGCTTCCTTCACTTAGCGAACTGCTGGCTGAACGAACACTGCTCTTCAGTGAGAGACGGGAAGCATGACGAACTGATGCCGAACGTGAGCTTTGCACAATGTGTCTATGGACGTGATGTTAGTGTTACAGTCGTTACTGCAGTCTCCGAGGCCATGTGGTTATTGTCGTGTTCTTTAGATGCAGTCTCCCTATGCCGCTCTGGAGTATCGCAGGCTCCATCCTCCAGGCTAACGCTATTGAGTCATTGATATCTGTTGAAGCTGGGTGTTGCTTCTGGCTCAGTTTGTTGGCTATGGTGTGCTCTATTGGTTTGACCTTTTGTGGACGGGGGACCGCTTGATGTGCATTTTTTTTTGCAACAAGTTTTGAATGTGTGTGCTTTCCGTAACGAAACATGGGCATATAACGCTTTGTGCGTATTTTATAAGGAAAGTTATTGAGCAGGAAGCTGTTCACAGCAGTTGTCAGCACCCCTTGACGCAAAACATCCTCTACACAAATATACGTGCACCTATGTAGCAAACACCCCTCCAACTTCCCTATGCACACAAAGAAGCAATTACTGCATAGCTGCATTCTGCACGGGCCGGCCGGCAGCATACCCTGACGGACTCAACAGGTGCAGGGTACACACTGCATGCCTCACATCCATTCCTTAGCCATTTAGGCATCCAAGTACGCAGTGTAACGCGTAGGCTGCTGGGGGAGGGGAGGGGAGTGCGGTCTTACCGGCCATCGGGCGTGTCACAGGTACTGCCGACCCCGGCCGGCGGGCCGGGCCACCACGGGGGGATCACCGACTGCGGGAAGCCGCCGAACCCTGCCAGCTGCCTCTTCCCGCGCGCTCCGCTGTATAGATCGGCCGCTGCGGAAATACAGAGAAGGCTTGGGTCAAATGGGCTGAAATGCGGGGTGAAGTGCCCGTGTCTGGAAAATGTACGGGGGATGGGGTGCTGAAATGGGGAGTGATATGTCGCCGCTGGAAACAATGAAGAGACTTCTGAGTTACGTTTCCAGAAGTCGGCAAAGAAGAGTCTGATGCTACATATTACGCTACACCAAGCCCATCGATAATGTATTCATTTGGTACACGGGTTTCAGCTAGCAGCAACTGTTTCCACACAAAAATACACATACCTATAGTCTGCATTTGAACCGCATTCGGATCATATTCTCGTGTTCTCCGGATTATGCCGTGCTAAAACCGTGCCCTACTGAACGGATAAAACTGAGACGATGACTCAGTCAGACCTATCACAACATATCCTGCAACATGTGTGGGCAGTCAGATTACGGCTAAGCTTTTGTGGCCACGAAACCTGCTCTACAAACCCGCACCAGATATAAAATAGGCCTCTTGACCTCTTCCTCCGGTCTTGTGGTCAGTTGTGACTGATTGCTCCGATGAATGAATGGATGTTTTTGGTGGTTGCCAATTGCGGTTATAAAAATATAGCTGATGGCGTGGTGACGTTTCGTTTGGGTTGATTAAAAAAAAAACATTTTAGATCAGTATATTGGTGGTGAGTCAAACACATTTGTGGTACTCATATTTTACGAGAAAATAGCAAAACCACGATTTTGTTCCTGGCGTCATTTTTCGTACCTATGTCCTATGTTCCTGACAACTTCGCCTTTTAAAAAGCGTGGTCGATCATGAACGTTATCATATAGTTTTGTTCTGCATATGAGCGGTTAGAATTTGTTTGGTGTTATTTTAAATATCAACATGGTCTTCAATAACGTAAATTAATTAAGTTCATGGACATTTTTGGTGTTTAGCAGAAGAGGGGTATTTGAAAATCGAGCTCACAGCGAGTTTGCCACGAATTACGTAACGATAGGTGACTCCATAATATCTCCGAAATATTTGGCAATGGTTGCAAGTTTTACATTTGGATAATGCGAGCTGGCGTACCAGATTCGTCATCCCTATTTGATGGCATGCAATTGTAAAGAATACAAATGATACAATGCTTCAACAAAACGAAACAAATTGTAATGGCTTCTGAATAAAGTCGTAAAGAAAGCCCAGTCTTTAGCCGATCATCGTCACCCAGTCTGTCATCCGTCGCTGGCATTCGGCGTGACTTCTGGGACACGGGTCCAGCTTTGGGTACACGGCCTGCCGCGCCGCGCCGCCGCTGCCTTGGCAGTGACCTTCAGGTAGCCGGATAAAGAACTCTGCGCTTGGGTGAGTGACCGGGCGCCGCGCGCGTCGGCGGTGCGCGGACCGGCAGGCAGACACACGACCCACACCGGTCGGAGATACACAGCGCCTGCAGACTGGCCGCCCCGCCCGCAACCCCCGCTCGACACTCAATCAGGCAGTGACAGTCACCGCACCTGGGAGAGTTAACTATCCTGACAGGACACCTGGGGTGACAGGAGATGTGGGCAGGTGACAGCTGCCGACAGATGTCAGGAGTGGAGATGACAGGGCGGGTAGGTGACAGCCGCGGCTGCTGTAGATGCCAGATGTGGTGATGAATCGAGGAAGGCGCGGCTCGTCTGATGTAGAACCCGGCGGCCAAAACCGCCGGCAGACCGCTGCACCTAACGGGAGCCAAATCCATGACGTCGTTAATGCAGGTTCAATGACGCTGATACATCTTGCAAAATGATATTCAGTTAGCTGAGTCGAAGGCTTGTACGTACAAAGGCGAACGCTTCTATTTCTGCATGTATGCATGAATGTATGCAGATGCATGCGTTTGTGCGCGTTTGTACATCCACGCGTGCCCATTTTGTACCCATTTTGTACTATTTTGTTTGCGCACTCTTAACATCGTTTACGATAATCCAGTGTTGCTCGTCAACACCTGACACCACTCTGAAGGATAATCCCTCTCACAGACCCTATCATCCAGAGTATAACCCGGCAGGCTGTGCCAACAGTGGGCGTCTCAGTGCGTCGCAGACGCTTCCTCCGCACTCCGCGAGCTGCGGAGGAGGTGAGCTCCACGCCGCGATGTCGCAACACGGCGCTCCCCGGACGGGTTTTTCGCCCGGCAGCCTCCCACTGCTGGAGGCTGTGAGTGTTGTGTTTGGTCGGTTGATCTGCTGAGCACGCGGCCGCAGCCTGCACCCTGCGTGGGGGAGGGGGAGGGGACGGTTGAGGGGTATTGTCAGACCGGCTGGAGACGTGACGTCACTGAGCGGTCACAGAGCGGCATTGTGACGCCAGTTCTTAGAACACGTGGTCCATTTGAGCCGACTTCCTTGGCAAAGCTTCATTTGCAGCTGGCGAAGTGATTGACCGCGTGCCAATTCTAGACTGACGATAAGAGCAGATCTCCGGTGTCTTACGTAACTCGTCACGATAGACACTTTCCCCACTGGTTTCAACTCTCCACAGCAGACCTAGTCTCCCTATACCCCACCACCAGTCTGTGCCTGACCGGGCCCTGCCGGCACGCGACCCTGCTTGACCCCGTCCGACGCGGAGCCGGTCCGTCGCCGGAGCCGACTGCGCAGCGCCCGGGCGCGGCCCGGTGGCCGGGGCGCAGCACGACCTGGCACCTCGGCGATGGCCCAGTAAAAAACTGGCCGTCGGCACCGTTAGCTAACCTCATTGGGTCGACGCTGGCCGACGGCGCGGCGAGGAGACATCGCTGAGTGATGGGTGCCGGATCGCGAGACGCCGCGCCGGCCGCGGCGGAGGCACGGGTGGTACCCAGAGGGGGAGGAGAAACCCTGAGAGTTCAGGAGGCATTCAGATGATGTCAGAGGCGCACTTTAGGAGCAAAAGATAGACTCATAAATTCCTGAGCAGAAGATAAACTCATGAAGTGGGAAACCATCGGAGGTAAATTCCGGGATATCTGGAAAGGACTTGATGAAAGAAGGCACAGCGCAGCAAGATTGCATTTTGTGCAGTAGGAGACAGAGGGGCAGCCTGGAAACCTGCGCCTTCTGAAGAGGCTGAAGTGAAATCCGCAGTAGCCTCTGCAGACTGACCTACCATCTGACCTGAGGGCGCTACAACTTTAACGTGCCCAGAAGAACCCAGGTCTACCATCCAGACATGAGACAGAATCCGCCCATAAATGCATATGCGAGGAGACATTGCCAACGGCAAAAGTGACTGGCCACTGTGGAGATCTGAACAGGATACATCTGTCCCAGAGGCACCACAAAGTGCCCAAAAGCACCCATTATCACCCGAAGTAATCCGACAGCACCCGGAGGCACTCAGAGGAATTCGAATACTCCGGTGGTGTCCTGAATCTCTTATCAGATTCAGACTACTCGCCCCACTAGAAAGGCGTCTGGGAGTAACCTGTTCTCAGTTTGCCTCGTCTTTGTTTTGAAAACGACGCCTTAGTCTGACTTAATGAGTGTTTGGAAACTAGACTAGACCTTGATCTCCAGTTCCTTGAACTATCGGTAAATTTCATCGCACCAAACAAAAGGCTTTAGGACACGTAGAAATCAGTCCCTTTCACCACAGAACATTGAATACCTATGTGATTGAATTTTAAAGCAAAGAAGCAAAGCAATTAAAACTTTTCCCCGAAAAGTGGAAGCCCTACTAGTAAACAGCTACTGAAATTTGTCAGGTAAGTACCAAATGGATCAACCGGACCAAATAGGTGCCCAATGCAGTTCTGTAAGTGGTATTATTATATTCTCAGCATGACGCGCCGAGTCGAGGCGAGTTCAAAGCACTCGGTCTGATCGGCGAACAGCCTCCGGCCGGCGGCAGTAGCGGTCATTTCAAGGTCACTTTAGACAGCCGACGGGACCATCCTTAACTGATGGAGACTCAGATGTCTCCTGGCTAGTCGATCGTGAAACAGCTGATTGCGCGGATAAAATTGTGCACTGACGGCTCCATAAGCAGTTTTCTCTTCCATCCCAACAAATGGTATGCTTCTGTCGAAAAACGATTTATATATCCCTACTGTGCTGTAAAGTGCATTAGGTCAATGCACTCGTATAATCGTATCATGAGAGAAAACCACTGTCATGTCCCCGAAGCTGGTGCCATACCACCGCAGCCCTTACCACATTCCCTTCCTCCCCCTCCCTCTATCCGTCCCCACCCTCCCGCTTCCCGGTACGATCGCTGACCGTCCAGCCGCCGCCGTCAGCCCTATGTATCAGACCGGCTGACCGGGCGGCCAGCCACGCCGGCCAGCCGCCCGAGGCGGCCACAGAACGGGTTCCGTGACATTGTGTCTCGCCGCGGCCCGGGTTAATGCACCTCGGCCGTGACCGGGAGGCCACGTGATCCACATCGGGTCTGCAGGCGGGGAAGGCTCATGTCGGCACGTGGGGAACGGGAACAACCGGACTGAGACTGCTTCAGAAGCTCTCTATGGATTCCCCGGTTGGTCTAGGAAACAAAATAGGTCCCAGCTAGGCTGCTCAAGTGCTCAGTGCTCAAGCTATTGGTAGGCCGTGCTTTGATGATGCCACAAAATTGACCTACAAATTAAGGCGTAGGCTTATGACTGTTACGACCTTCAGGTTTAGTGTGGATCTTCTAAGGCAATGTCAAATTTGCGTTGTGACAATGGCCTCGGCTCAGACTTCAGACAATGAGCATCAGGCTCGGGCAATCATCCAAGTTGAGGTCGGGTTTTTACCTGTGTGCCATCTGGTGGAACGAGCTACATAACTGCGGATGAGTTATGTCGTTAGAAATGCGCAGTCATTTTAGGAGCTTCCGAGACCAATTTGGGATTAATGGAGCATATTTAGCGAACACATTTGTTGGGTAGCGAAGCGAAAGGGAAAAGCCTGAAATTGATAAATAGCATCAGCATTTGTACAAACATGGATGAAAAATGGACGCTGAGAGAAGAACGTGATAATAAGACATAGGCACGAGCACGCCCACAAATATATACTATGTCAAATAAGCGGAGAGAGAGAGAGAGAGAGAGAGAGAGAGAGAGAGAGAGAGAGAGAGAGAGAGAGAGAGAGAGAGAGAGAGAGAGAGAGAGAGAGAGAGAAGAGAGAGAGAGAAAAAAAGAGAGAGAGAGAGAGAGAGAGAGAAAGAGAGAGAAAAAGAGAGAGAGAAAGAGAGAGAGATAGAGAGAGAGAGAAAAAGAGAGAGAGAGAGAAGAGAGAGAGAGATAGAGAAAAAGAGAGAGAGAGAGAAAGAGAGAGAGATAGAGAGAGAGAAAGAGAGAGAGAGAGAGAGAGAGAGAGAGAGAGAGAGAGAGAGAGAGAGAGAGAGAGAGAGAGAGAGAGAGAGAGAGAGAGAGAGAGAGAGAGAGAGAGAGAGAGAGAGAGAGAGAGAGAGAGAGAGAGAGAGAGAGAGAGAGAGAGAGAGAGAGAGAGAGAGAGAGAGAGAGAGAGAGAGAGAGAGACGCCCGCCATGAGTATGTTCTCCGCGGAGATCGTGCATCCCTCGATAAGTGATGACCAAGTGATGACCGCGAAAGTCGACGAAGGAGCCTAGAGCAGAAGCCGTAGTGTGCTGCAGCGAACGACGCAGTAATCAGTAGATGCAAAGCGAGGATTTAGCACGGGGCATTGGCCCCGCTGGCTACATGCGGCGGAGGGCAGTCACACTAGAAAATGCACAGGCACAACTAATGAGGAACGCCAGCGCGAGAGACTGCGTCTAGGTTTATGCGATAGCACCGGATACTGCATTTGGGCACAAGACAGTAACACCAATGACTGCAACCAGGAACAGGACAACAGCCCCAGCAGTTCCATCGCGGCACAGGACGGTAGCACAAGAGACTGCACTCGGGCACAGGACAATAACACTAAGGACTGCATTCGGGCACAGGGCGATAGAGCGGACAGCGACTGCATTTGGGCACAAGACAGTAGCACCAGAGACTGCACCCGGGCCCGGGCACAGGACAGCAGCACCAGAAAGCTGCACTAGACACAGATAGCTGCACTAGATACTGCGCCAGTGCTAGACACACCAGTCATTACACCCGACGCAAAGCTGAATCGCGAGAGACTGCTTCCGAGCCATGGTAGCAGAGCAGCACGATTGACTGCCTCTGCGGCGCACTCCAGCATTAATTTTACGCTGAAGAATAACCATCTACCATACCACCTCGTCACGACAAGCAATATATCTGAGAATGAGTTTGCAGCCGACCTAAGGCTGACTGCATCCGCTGCACCTGCACTGAGCGGTGAAAATGACATCCCCAGGATGTGGCACCGCCGCCGCCTCCGCCGCGCCGCTCCGCCCGGGCGGTGGCCGCCGTCTGTCCGACCGGGCGGCCTTGTGTGCCAGCAGTGCGTAACAAACGCACGGCCGGCGGCGCTGCCTTGAACTTGACAGTGGAGAGGAGGCTGGCCAGGGCCAGGGCCGCGGCGGGTGGAATGTCCCGCCCGTATACTAACGCTGGCAGTCGACAGATCGTATTTACAGTTTTCGATCGTATAACCAGTTTTCTCAGTAATTCAGCTAGCAATTCTCGTGCTGTGTTCAAAAAAGACGTTTACAGTGAGGGGCAAACTTAAGAAAAACGAACTATAATCCTGTTGTAAAATCACGTCTAGTTTTGTCGTACTATTTAGGAAACACACTACTTTAGGACGGTAATTGAGTAGCGTTCTGCCTCACATTGAAGTACGATTTCGGAATGCTGTTAACATTCAGCTATTCAGTTCAGTTGACTCGCCAGGCGGTGCGGCGTGCGTCTGTGCTTGACGATAAAGTGGTCAGCCGCGGCCCTGAACCTGTATGTCCGGTCCTCAGCGGCGGTGACGGGTGGTGGACAGCCGGCGAACGCACAATGAAGAATGCGTGACAAGAATAGAGCGGACAGCGACCGGGCAACTAAGGATGGCATCACGAGAACTATAGCTGAATCAAGAACGCCTACACGACTAAAGATCACTACGGAAACTGAATTGAGTAGACGGCTGAGCGGCTTCTGGAAATACAGAGTGAGAGACCGCAGCACAGCTGTCCGATATGATATATATTCGGACAGGACAACCCAGGTAGATTCTGCGGTTTGTATGACATCTCTGCTCAGAGACACTGCGAGCGTGCGGACGCACTGGATGGATACAGGGCCGTGATCGGACTACTGATGGACGAATTGTGCGTGATGGATCGTACAGGAGCGTCGGAAAGGACGTGAGAGCAGGCGAACCGCACTGGAGCGGGAGGGCTGCCAGTGAACCGGACAGACAAGGGTCATCTGTCACGTGAAAGGTTCGCCGGTGGGTGGTGGGGTCTGGGTGGGATAGGCGAGCTGGTGGATGGTGGAGTCTGAGAAAGACGAGCTGCTGGATCGTGGGACATGAGGAAGGCGATCCAAGTGAGACAGACGTGGATTGAGGGAGGTGGGTCATTTTAGGAGCGCTAAAAGAACTTGAGGAAGACGTCCTGATTTGAGACGGGCGAAGGGACGAGAGGCAGACAGATGATTATAGACGGAGAGACGTCAGGTGAGCAGGCGGTAGCTCGGAGCGAAGTGAGACTCTCCGTCAGACTCCACCGGACCCGTGTATGCGTCGGCCGGTTGGACCGGCAGAGGAAGCCGCCAGTGTTCCGGCAGGTTACCGATACAAATCACCGCTGCGCCTCGATAAGGTTTTAAATTAAAGACATCACAACGCACTTGCCCATTTTAAGTGTTTTGAGTATTAAGAAATAGAGTTACAAAACACTGCCACTAACTGTTTAAGGTGTGATTGCAAATAGTGGTGATTGCAAATAAAAAGGCTTGGATTCGTTTCCAGGATGCAGTGCAGCCAATTTTGGTATTAAGTAGCTCAAATCAACCTTTTGACTCAATAATAAAGGGTCTGTTTTCCTGACCTTGTCTTGCTCATCCATTTAGTAATTTCCGGAGCGGAGTGATTCAGCTACTCTGGCTCGGTTTAACAGCGATGAATGATTGGTAGGTAGCTACCGTTCCAATGCATCGTAAGTATTTTAGGGAGCAGGCTTACAGCCTGTGACATTTATTATTTTATTCTGCTAATAGCTAAAACTTACATCCGGTCATCGTTAAAAGCTCGACGATTCTTTACTAGGATGAATATACTAATACCTACAAAGCTGTCAGGAAAAGCCTCAATTTTTTTCTTAAGCTATCAACTGTGGCGTTATATAAACAAACAAACGAGCATTAAAGTTCATCATTAAAGCTCAATAATAAGCTACCTTATCGAGTAACTATATTGCTGGCCTAAATTTAAATCCATCGAAATGAACAAAATGTTATTATTCTATCAAACTGATCTGGGAATTATGCCTACGCTGAAACTAGCATCCTGCTTTGCATACTCGACTACTCTGCAATTACGAGTTCATTATGCATGCCTTAATGGTTTTATTTCCAGCAAGAGAAGTCACTCGCCATTTGCAAAAACAATTAAACTCAAAACGAGTCGATTTGTCCAGTGTTTAATCTCTTGTCCCTTCTAGCGTGCACCATACAAGCCATCCGATGCAAAGTAGGTGCGAACGGCCTGCCAACGAGTCGCCTAAACTGCATAACGTCAAATATAATACTGTTTTGCCATAATGGCTGACTGTGTGCCAAATTTGTAGCTCACGATCACCAAGCATCCTACTTCAATATTAGTCACACTTCAATATTAAGTATAGGGATGCTATGATCACTGCTTAGTCTGCTTTAGAACATAGCGCCAGATCATTGCCATGTTTTTTATAGGCAAATTTCTATAGACAATAATAGATTTTCAGATACGGCGGTTTGAAAATTTCATTATTTTAGGATCAATATTATTCACACAATTCAGTCGCTTTTCCTGACCCATAGCTCAGTTGGTAGAGCGTTGGACTCCCGGTAGTGAGAGCCCGGGTTCGAGTCGCTCCGGCGCTCGGTATTTGAGACTCCTGACGGGGATGGTCTGCGGCCTTGCAGTGGGAGCAGCCACAGCCAGTAGAAGTCGGTGGAGTGGAACAGGCCGTATCCGGATTTGATGGATACGGATTACTTTGGCATCTAAATTGTCCCGTCACCTGGCATTGCGTGACCAGACGGTAGGGTCGGGGTCTGCGCACAAGCCTCTGCTTAGCGTGGGCTCCGGCTCTGTCAATTCGTCCATTCAAACATTAGAGCTAACTTTTTTCTAACCTTATTTGATTAAGAATGACTTTTCTATTCATCCTTATCACAAAAAATATGTCTGTAAACATCAGCAGCATCACATTTACTTCCAGCAATCATGCATAATTTTATGTGCCGCATTAACCACTGCACCCTCTCACCATTTCCCACCGTTCCCGATGCTCACCTTCCACGACCACGGCGTCATCCGTCTCGAATCTGTAGAGGTCCACGGTGGCGGCGGCGGCCACCGAGGCCAGGCACCAGGCGGTCACCGTTCTCAGCATGGCGGCGCACCTCTGACGGCCGGCAGGGGTGTCTCAGAGTGGGTGTCGGCGTGCCGTGCTGCCGCGACGCTCACCGCGGAGCTACTGAGTGACGGCGCGCCGGCCGGCCCCAGCCGGAGCCGCCGCCGCGGCTGACTCCCGCGCCTCGGGCATTTTCGGCGAGCACGACGGACGGAGAGCACCCCATCAGAGGTGAGAGAATAGTATCACAGCTGAGGGAGCACCCCATCAGAGGTGAGAGAACAGTAGCACAGCTGAGGGAGCACCCCATCAGAGGCGAGAGAATAGTAGCACAGCTGAGAGAGCACCCTATCAGAGGCGAGAGAACAGTATCGCAGCTGAGGGAGCACCCCATCAAAGATGATTAAGAGAAGCCTATCACAGCTTTCGGAGCACAAAATCATGGGAGCTTCCATCATAGCCAACAGAGCACCACATCATATTCTACAGAATGCCCCATCACAGCTGACGGAGCACCCATAAAGATCCAATAGAGACCTTATAACGGTCGATGAAGAATCTCATCACGGTCGATGGAGCTCCCCGTCTCAGCCAATACTCAGCCGGGCATCTTCGGCGAGCACGACTGACGGAGAGCACCCCATCAGTGCAGAGGCGGGAGAATACATATTATCACAGTTGAAGGAATACTATCACAGAGCACCCCATCACAGATGACTCAGAGCCTTCGGAGCACCACCACATAGATCACCCCATGGAAGGGCGGCCACGGATGCTACCGGGGAGCTCATAGAAGAAGACCAAGTTCTTTTTCTGCTTTTTTAGTGGCCACGCTCTTTTTAAGCCTTTTAGAGCAACATGGATTGTTTTATATTGATTCTCTACGTGACTAGAAAAACATCAAATCGAACACCCCTACGTTTACCGAAAGCCTTCCTCTCACCCTCCATATCCTCTCTCGGCGCCGCGATGACTAAGGACTGGGCGTGGTGGCCTGTCATGTTCCTGAAGTTAATGATGCACTGCAGACGAGTGCACGGATTGTTTTTAGCTACCTGTCTCGCCGGTGCCAATACATCTTTGTCGCGCGGCGGTAGTCCCCCGGATGTGATCGTCTACATGGTCTACATCACCAACTGGCAGCGGTACACCGCACCAGATCCGGACTTGGATGAGGCTGAGTGAGATAATGCTATGAATGCTCAGTCATGTTATGCGTCGCTACTTCCTATGGAATGAAGAAAGAAATAGGGTAGGTAGATGATGCATTCATGCGTAGATATATTTACGTCCTGCTATGCACGCTTTTTCCATATTCTGATAAGTATTATTCAAGCCCTCACTATATAAATACCTTTGTTTTGTTTTGACAACCTGAATTCAGACGGGCGAGCATTATTATTAGCATTATTTTAGTTTTACCCATACCAATTTGTCACTGTTTTGTTTCTACGGGCCTCTGGGCCTATAGCCGCACCATTTTACCGCTCGCCTCCGGTAGATAACGTTCGGCGGCCCCTCGGGAAATAGCTGGCCATCACCTGTCAGATACGGACGCCGCCTCCAGCTTCCCGGCACCCATACCGATGGGTTTACCCAGTTACCGATTTTCTCTCTCTCTCTCTCTCTCTCTCTCTCTCTCTCTCTCTCTCTCTCTCTCTCTCTCTCTCTCTCTCTCTCCCTCTCTCTCTCTCCCCCACTCTCTTTGTCTCTGTCTCTGTCTCTCTCTCTTTCTCTTTCTTTCTCTCTCTCTCTCTCTCTCTCTCTCTCTCTCTCTCTCTCTCTCTCTCTCTCTCTCTCTCTCTCTCTCTCTCTCTCTCTCTCTCTCTGTGCAGCTGACAGACGCCGACCACACCCTCACCTTCTCCGTCAGTTCTTACAGTTCTTACAGCTCCGGGAATCGCTGCGTGTCGAATACCGCTCATCATTAGCTTTGTGGCTTAGTACGGACAGCCTTCAACGCAGCCCCGCGATTATAGCACGGACTGAGCGCAGCTCGGTAAATAAAGGATATCGCTGACTTTAATAATGTTATGCGTCTTATTCTCTAGCCCTGAGTGAATATGTTGGAACCGTCAAGCATCATACTATCAGGGAACTCAAATTTGTTTTTCAATAGAAAAACACAATTCTGACGAATAGTGTTTTACTATTGACAACAAACCCTCGGTTAAAAAAACCTATCGTAAAGCATGCCTTTTCGGTTAGAAGTGAACAACACATGTCATCTTGTCATGTTGTCATGTCATGTCATGTCGCTTGCACCCAATTTGGTACACCGTTATATTGCACGAGAGGTATGCCGATGAATCTTGTCACCATGCCCATCGTCGCACATGACACCTTTAATGACTTTTAGCCGGATATCGTCCGTGGACGGATATCCATTATCCAATACAATGGCTCCGTCACAAGTATAAGTTGGATGGAACGTATCTTCCTGCATCTAACATCGAACGCGAAGCACATAGTCCCATATACATAAACACTCTGGGTCGGGCAATGCCGTAGCAATGCGTCACAAACATTGCAGTGCGGACAATGACGACAAGTGTGTGAATTACTGGTGGCTTATGCTGTTCGCATCGCGCTGCGTCGCGGTAGCATTCAAACAATCTAGGAGTAGGAAAGTGAAAAGTCCTCGTAGTGCGCACTGCCACGTGTTCAGGGGTGACCTCCACACGTGTTCACACAACCATTACCGTGGCGTGCATTCCATGGGTTCACAAACGTCCTTGAACACAGCGTAGATCGTTTGTCGTTTTGTGACTGGGTGGGAATCAAAGCGCGAAGCTAATGCGGCCAGACACCTTTCGCTATGATCAATCATCTGCTAAAGGCTTAGGTATGTCGCTAGGAAGACAGATTGCATACTGATTGCAACTAGAATGGCGGGAATGCGTCCTAATATTCCCTCTTTGCGGCGATGGACATTGCCTAAAAGCTCGACTTTAAACGGTCTCTGTACGTACCCCTTGACCGTCAGGCCGTGGCGGGCGGCGGTATCGCTGACCGCACCCATTAGAGACCCGCATGAGATGATGAGGTGTGGCACTAACGATTCGGAACGTGGTATCAGATGGCGAGGTCGATGCCCCCTCTAATTTGTCCGCTCAATCTGCATCCGCATTGCATGGCAGCGGCCAATGGAAAGAGCACATCACGTGCGGCTTCTGATGCTTATCGGTGTCATCTGATGAGGCGCAGACTTTGTGTAGATGCAACAAGTCTCTCAATTTCGAAACAGCTTATTTAAGCATGCAGTATTTGCTTATTAGACCATTCCTAACCTAAGCTAAATGAACAGCAGTTAGCATCTAAATGGCAAGTAGGTATATACAAAGATAGTGCTATTTTGTTTCTGATGTCTTTCGGACATGCAGATATAGCGGGTTTAATATGGCTATCGTTTCACGAGAACTCATCGGTCCGGAACATCTGATGTTCTGCTCCAATGAAATCCATTCAGCAATCAGCATTAATTAACGGACTGCATGGGCCCCATTGGGATTATTATCAGCTAATATGGGATTTGAGTTCAAACAGAACGATCATATAGAACAGCTCAATGACGCAACTATGTAAAAGTTATCGACATTTTTCTGTGGTATGCCGTTTGCAACCGAGATAAGGGATCTGAATTTTCCCGTGTCGTCAAGTCTGCCTTTGCTCTTTCTGGAACAGTAACCAAGGCTCACTTAGTACAAAGTTCAGGGGGTATGCCGGACCTTATCCACCAGATTTGTCTTTGTGTATAACCAGACACAGTCACCGGCTAGCGGACATGTAATGAATGGCTACATGAACATTCAGGATCGTAACATTGCACTTTTAGACGGTGCTCCTTGACGCTGAGCTATTTCAAACAGATGCGGCCGATCCTAAGATGCAGGATAAGCCGCAGATTGACGTCAGCACCAGCTACTCCCTCCCAGCACTGCCTCAGAAAGCTCATGTCTGGTTTCATTGCAATACGTGGTCACCTTTGTATTTTGCTCTAACATTTTATTAAATCTTCAAAACCTTAGCTAGCAGTCCTTTCTCTCGTTTCCATTGCATACCCTGCCCAGTCCCCACGTCTCCGCCCGCTCTGTAGTCATCAGTACCGGATTAGGCGGCGCCCCTCCCTCCGGCCGGTCACCGCCGTGCTGCAGGGACGCCGCACCGACCATGCACGCCGGCAGCAGTCACGGTCATGAGGTCAGTGACCCCATGGACCACCGCGGTCAGCCGGGCTGGGCGGGAGTCTCCCCGCCCCGCCCCCGCCCCCGCAGCTGCCTACTCGGGAAGGTGGATGAGTCAGACTCAGACCCGGCCCCGCGGGGCAGCCACGCACTGCCCACCGATATTTCCGGAGAGAGAGTGCACTACAGCTGATGATGACAGAGGAGCGGCTTTTGATAAATGAGGACACGATATCAGTGAATAGCTCACGATCAGCTTAGCTGTTACATAATGCAAATGAGTGATGCGTTCATCCGGCAATTACAGATGAATTCGCAGCACAATCAATGCATGGTTATGCTGAAATGAAGAGGGAAGCTGATCGCTGAATGATGTGCCTCCAAGGCGGTCATATGACTTCATATTAGAAAGGAATCCTTATTATAAGAGGTAATGATCACGACAGACGACAGACGACAGGACGACAGATTCAAATGGACCTTTCAGCCATAGCTTGTCTATACATATACGTTTTGATTTCAACGGGCGTTTGACGGTACGTAACCTTTCACTTTTGCTGCGAGATGAGGAGCTATGTCCATTGTCCACTTGCACAAATATCCGGAATTTAAACCAATAGGTCAACCAGTTTATTATCCGGGATCAAAATACTTCACACATTTAAGCATTTATTGGTTGAGTATTAATTAAATTCCGTCACGACGTTATAAAGGCCAACAGGCTGTGGACGGATTTATAATAGCTTAGCACGATGCCTGGCATGTTTTAAGTATAAATTCAAACAGTAGCCAATAGGTAGCTTATTTATATTATAACTAATGGTTTATAAAACTGATAAAAAAGCCCAACCTGAATCTAGCCTGAAACGGAAACAAACGAAAACTGGTGAACGGTCTTGAACTATAGGCCTGAGCCCCTGTGGTTGTACATTTTTTAGACGGAAGCCTG